CGCTCTATCCACTAAGCCAAACTGGTTTCGGCTCCAGGTTTCTTCTTAGGTGATAACCAAACATCCACCTAAGTGACCTTTAGGTAGTAAAACTGTGATTGCAAAAAAAAAAAACTGTGATTGCAGATGTGGATTTTAAAGATCTCTGTGTAGACTGCAGAAGTAAAAAGGTTAGCAAATGGAGTGGCTACAGAGAAAGGAAAAGAGCCTTAATGTGCTCAGAGGGAGGAGCTCTCAGAGACGAGGAAAGGCAGGAGCCAAGGGAGAAAAGAGGCCCTGATGAAGGAAGTATATCAGTTTCATACTGTCAGATGCCAGAGGATGAGGGGACCTTTGGGTTGGCTAGTGTGATTTTTGGTGAGTGGTGCTTATGGGCCAAGCAGAAGGAACACAGCGTAGGCTAAGGAGCAATGGAGTCCTTTATTTAAAAAATAGAGCATGGTTTATCCACTGATCTGTTTTTGTTTTGTTTTAAGAGGAGGGAGGGAGGAGGGATCAGTTGCCTTCCACACAAGCCCCAAACAGATCAAATCCGCAACCTGGGTATGTGCCCTGATGGAGAAGGAACCCCCATCACCTTTTGGTACACAGGCTGATGGCACCTGGCCAGGGCGGGAGTCCTTTTTAATAAGAACAAGTTCTTAATATAGAGCAAAGCCATGTCTTGGCTCAGTGGTTATAATGTTGGCATGTGCATCAGAGAGTCCTTGGTTCAATTCCTGGTCAAGGATAGGTACTTGGGTTGCCAGTTCCTTCCTGGCCCCTTGTCCAGGCACCTGCAGGAGGCAACCAGTAAATGTGTCTTTTTCACATTGTTTCTCTCCCTCTTCCTCTCTGTCCCCTCTCCCTCCCTCCCTCCCTTCCTTCTACTCTCTCTGAAAACTGATGAGAAAAAATATCCTCAGGTGAGGATTAAAAATAACATAGAGCAAAGCCATTACAGTAGTATGCAAATTAATCTTTTATGTGCTTCATTTTTCAGATTTCAATAAATAAGCTAACATACTTTGATAATCAGGAAAAAAAGTTGTGTCCCCAGAATAAATGTAAATCCCTTTTTAGTTGTATTGATCTACTAAAAAGATTTTACAAAATCTAGGAAGCATGGTCAACTCAAGCAAGGAGAGTAGCAAAGAATATGAGAGAAAATGTCCATTCCACCCCCCCATCTCCACCCCCCAACCCCGTAGTGGGCAGAGCTGAATCCATAAAGAGAGGAAATGGGTCTGAACTACTGAGGGGGAGGGAGAGTGGTGACGGGGCTAGGAGAGCACAGTCAGTCCCCTGGGAGTGGGGAGAGACCTGGTCCAGCCTCTAAGGTTAATTATTGATTTCAGAGGAGAGACTCCCTTCTGAAGAAAGTTAGGTGAAGGAATCTACTGCTTGAGGGGATTTCTAAGCAATGTTTGGAAGAGGCTGGTTGCTGGCTTGCTACTTTGTGCCTGTTTTTTCTCTGTCAAAATATAAGCTATTGCTTTAACATCCTGAGCAGATTGTTCATGGACCTAATACTCTGTCAGCTCGACTCCCTGGCAGCACAGTTGATTTCAATTTGTACTCCTTTGTACCAGCTATTTTTCTACCTGGTCTTTTAGGTTGGACTTGATTATTTACAAGCAATTTCTAACATTTTAAGTTCTCAAGGTGGACAAGAGGGATTTTTCTGTGTTTTTCAAAGTATTGTATACTACAAAACCCTACAGAGCTCAGAGATGAAATGCTTTTCCTCCACCAATTTTATTACAGAGGATATCTAAATAGCCAGGATTATGTAGTGATTTTCTGGCAGGGCCAGCATTAGCATCTATAGCTTGTGAAATGTTTTTTGTTCTTTGTTACTTTTCTCAAGAATGTCACCAAGGTAGATGGAGTTTGTTCTCTGTTCCCTAAATCCAGCATTTGAGTTACCATCTTTGCTGAGGTCCCAATTTTGAGACATTTGTGGTCTGGACAAATATTTTTGTTAATATGTGAAAATAATATAAAGTAGTACTTCTTGAACTTAAATATGTGAAACCACTTGGGATCTGTTAAGTTGCAAATTCTGATTCTATGGGTCAAGGATGAAGCCTAAGTTTTGTGTTTCCAATGAGTTCCAACCAGTGCTGCTGGTTCTTAGACCGTACTCTGAGCAACAACAGTATAAAGTTGTGCTGTCCAGTACAATATAGCCCTTGGCCACATGTGGCTGTTGAGAACCTACAGTGACTGGTTCAAATTGAGGTGTACTGTAAGTGTAAAATATATACCAAATTCTGAAGGTTTATTATGAAAGAAAAATAATATAAAATACCTCAATTTTTTTATTGGTTACATCTTTTATTTTTTAATATATTTTTATTAATTTCAGATAGGAAGGGAGAGAGAGACATAGAAACATCAATGATTAGAGAGAATTATTGATCGGCTGCTCCTGCACACCTACTGGCATGTGCTCTTGACCAGAATTGAACCTGGGACCCTTCAGTCACAGACCGATGCTCTGTACACTGAAGCCAAGCTGGCTAGGGCTATTGGTTACATCTCGAAGTGATAAAATTTGGGATGTACTGGGTTAAGTAAAATTACTAAAATTAATTTCACTGTTTCTTTTTACTTTTTTAATATGACACTAGAAAAGTACTGAAACCGGCCGAATCTGGTTTGGCTCAGTGGATAGAGCGTCAGCCTGCGGACTAAAGGGTCCCGGGTTTGATTCCAGTCAAGGGCATGTACATTGGTTGTGGGCACATCCCCAGTAGGGGGTGTGCAGGAGGCAGCTAATTGATGACTCTCTCATCAATGTTTCTAGCTCTCTATTCCTCTCCCTTCCTCTCTGTAAAAAATCAATAAAATATATATTTAAAAAAAGAAAAGAAAAAGAAAAGTACCTAAACCGGTTTGGCTCAGTGGATAGAGCGTCAGCCTGCGGACTAAAAGGTCCCAGGTTCAATTCCAGTCAAGGGCATGTACCTTGGTTGCGGGCATATCCCCAGTAGGGGGTGTGCAAGAGGCAGCTAATCAATGATTCTCTCTCTTTGATGTTTCTAACTCTCTATCCCTCTCTCTTCCTCTCTGTAAAAAAATCAATGAAATGTATTTTTTTTAATTCAGTCTTCATTTATTTAAAAAAAAAAAAAAAAGTACACCTAAGTGATTCACATTTGTGGCCTCTATTATATTTCCAGTCTAGAGCATTCATTCCTATCCTAAGAATAATCCATCTGAAAAATATTAGTTATATAAAAGAAATTATAGTTAGGATCATGCTTAAAGTAGTCTTTTATGATCAGAAATATAGATGAGATCTTACAATAAATATGCTAGCACATTGATGCTTGAACATATTTGTAGGCAAATTACAAAGCATTCTACAAATGACCCTTGATCTTCACTTTATGCATTAACATTTTATAATATTTGTCCCCATTTTTAATAGAACGGCTAGTAAGAGGTCTTTGCATTGAGCATTGTAGTGTTTTTTCTCTTTGTTGTTGAGAACAAGGGACTAATGAAAGTAGGTAATGGCAGAACAAATCAGACTGACAACCAGCAACCCACAAGATTTTCCGTCAGCCTGAGTTATGTTCCATGCAGATGGTAGGGTTTGCTGAATCTATCAAAAAAAAATGTAGGTTGCTTCAAGCCTGGCTTTTGCCCTCAAAGAGATTTCGCAAGCCAGCTGGGGAAATGGATCATTTTGAGAAAAATTTAAGCACAATAGAGTGTGATTATTTTATCAGCAGACACATTCAGAGAAAAGTAATGGCTAAAGAACAAAAAGTCATAAATCTGAATAGGTTATCTGGGGTTAGATAGTAAGGGGCCTTGAAAGCCATGCATCTCTCACTTTTGCCATTAAGGGGGTACACATAGTTGTAGAAATCAAGCACTGTTTTTGTGAACCAAGTCTTAACTTCCCCTGCACATATTTATTGATTTCAGAGAGGGAGAGAGAGATGGAAACATCAATGATGAGAGAAAATCCCTGATTGGCTGCCTCCTGCATGCCCCCTATTGGGGATCAAACCCGCAACCTGGGCATGTGCCCTTGACCAGAATGGTACCTGGGACCCTTCAGTCTGCAGGCCAATGCTCTATCCCCTGAGCCAAACCGGCTAGGGCAATTGCTGCATTTTTTAAGTCTCTTTTATCTGTGTCAAGGTTTTTGTTTTGTTTTGTTTTGTTTTTGGTGTTTTGTTTTTAAATATATTTTATTGATTTTTTACAGAGAGGAAGGGACAGGGATAGAGAGCTAGAAACCTCGATGAGAGAGATACATCGACAAGCTGCCTCCTGCACACCCCCCACCGGGGATGTGCCCGCAACCAATGTACATGCCCTTGACCGGAATCGAACCTGGGACCCTTGAGTGCGCAGACGGGCGCTCTATCCACTGAGCCAAACCGGTTTCGGCTGTGTCGAGGTTTTTCAAATTCAGCACAATTGCTATTTGGTTCCCAGTAATTCTTTGTTGTGGAAGACTGACTTGTGCATATAGCAAGGTGTTTAGTAAGATCTCTGGCCTCTCTGCCCACTGGATGCTATGTAGCATACCCACCCTAGAAATGACAACCAAAAATGTGTCTAGGCCTTGTCAAATGTCACCTGGAGGCAGTCATCCCACTACTGATCTGTAGGTTCTCTCCTTCCCATTTTTTTTCTTCTGGTAATTTATTTGCAAAAGAAACTGCAGTTTTCTTCTGTTTGGATTTCACCCCTGTAGTGTAATTTAACATCCTCTGTCACCAATTTCCTATTAATTGATAGTTGAATCCAGAAGCTATATTAGTTTCAGATTTTTTTTGTTTTGTTTGACAAGACTGCTTCCTGAGTAATGTTTTATCCTTCTGTCAGAAAACACATAGTGTGTGTTATCTTTTTGTAATATTAACAACCACTGATGCCTAATTCATTCTTCAGGGATCTTTTTTATTTTAAAGTGCATTATATATATTTTCATGTAGATAAATTTTATTTTAAATAACAATCTGTGTTCTCTCTTAATAAAGGAAGGGGAAATGGAAGGTGAGGCGGTTGAAGCCATTGTGGAGGAATCTGAAACTTTCATTAAAGGAAAGGAGAGAAAGACTTACCAGAGACGCCGGGAAGGAGGCCAGGAAGAGGATGCTTGCCACCTACCCCAGAACCAGACTGATGGGGGTGAGGTGGTCCAGGATGTCAATAGTAGTGTGCAGATGGTCATGATGGAACAGCTGGATCCTACCCTTCTTCAGATGAAGACTGAAGTAATGGAGGGTGCAGTCGCTCCAGAAGCAGAGGCTGCTGTGGATGATACCCAGATCATAACCTTGCAGGTTGTAAATATGGAGGAACAGCCCATAAACATAGGAGAGCTTCAGCTTGTTGAAGTCCCCGTTCCCGTCACTGTACCTGTTGCTACCACTTCAGTAGATGAACTCCACGGGGCTTATGAGAATGAAGTGTCTAAAGAGGGCCTTCCGGAGAATGAACCCATGATATGTCACACCTTACCTTTGCCTGAAGGGTTTCAAGTGGTGAAAGTGGGGGCCAATGGAGAGGTGGAGACGCTAGAGCAAGGGGAACTTCCACCTCAGGAAGATCCTATTTGGCAAAAAGACCCAGACTATCAGCCACCAGCCAAAAAAACAAAGAAAACCAAAAAGAGCAAACTTCGATACACAGAAGAGGGCAAAGATGTAGATGTTTCTGTCTATGACTTTGAGGAAGAGCAACAGGAGGGTCTGCTGTCGGAGGTTAATGCAGAGAAAGTGGTTGGTAACATGAAGCCTCCAAAACCAACAAAAATTAAAAAGAAAGGTACAATGATTTTATCCATTCTATTCTCATAAAACCAATTTGGAATGAAGTAGATAATGGTATATATGCAGCTTATTGTATATTAAATTTTTTTTTTTTTTTAAAGATCATGATGTGAGTGCTAGTCTTTTTAGCCCATCTAAAAGTCCTGAAAATAAAGAATAAATCTATTAGTGGCAAAAAATAATTATTATGATATTTATAGAAATTTAAGATTGGGATTAATCTTAACATTTTTTAACCCTGTAACAAGTAAGTTTTATTTTGCATATAGGTGTAAAGAAGACATTCCAGTGTGAGCTTTGCAGTTACACGTGTCCACGGCGTTCAAATTTGGATCGTCACATGAAAAGTCACACTGATGAGAGACCACACAAGTGCCATCTCTGTGGCAGGGCATTCAGGACAGTCACCCTCCTGAGGAATCACCTTAACACACACACAGGTGCTGGATAAGAATGTTGGGAACTACAGCATAGCTACAATTAAAAGTTGGGCTTTATAAGGATGGTGATCCAGAAAAAGATTATCTGTGGTAGATAACCTGTCGTAGTTGTGAAGACATCACCATTGTGTTGATAAGGTTTTAACAACTACTAAAAATGACCCCCAAAAAATTGCCAGGTACTTTGTTGAAGAACATTTGAAATAGTAGTGAAATCCTAACCTTTGTAAAAACCATGCTTTTTCTGGTGGTTTTTCCTCAAGGAAGATAAGTAATTCATAATCTCAGAATAGAAAGTGTAAGGTACCATTCTAGCAATTTAAACAGTTATTCATTCACACTCCATGCATACTTCAGCATTCCAACATTAGCTTCACCTTAGCTGTGATCAGGTCTTTGGGGTCACTAAAGTGGAAGGACCGTGCACTGGGGCTCTCTTCTGGGCTCTTTGCGTTTTAGTGTTGGCTTTGGCTCTTAAGTGCTAACAATGAAACTTCTTTCACCCAGTTCTTTATGCAAAATAGCTCTTCTCTATCCAGATTCTCCACATCACTTTATATGATGACTCTTGTTTTTATTTGATGTGCTGATTGTCCAGAGTGTGATTAAGTGGGGGTTGGCCTATAAGCAATATGCTGTGTATTTCTTTTGTTTTTTGTTCTGTTTTGTTTACTGATGGGACTTAGTCACTTTAAAAAATATATTTTTTTATTGATTTCAGAGAAGGGAGAGAGAGAAACATCAATGATGAGAATCATTGATCAGCTATCTCCTGTATGCTCCCCACTGGGGATTGAGCCCACAACCCTGGCATGTGCCCTTAACCAGATTCATACCTGGGACCTTTCAGTCTGCAGGCTCTATCACTGAGCAAAACCAGCTAGGGCTGACTTAATCACTTTTCACCATCTTCTAGTTTCTATTCAGACACTTGATATGTTTTATTGGGTAGTTTAAAGATACTATAAAACCAGCATATCTAAAATAATAAAAGCATAATATGCTAATTAGACCGCATAGCTGAATGACCTTCTGAACAACCTTCAACCTTCTGGATGAATCCGAGGCTGCAAGGACCGAGCCCCTTGCACGAATTTCATGCATCGGGCCTCTAATGACTAGATAAAGGTAGCTGGCACCAGAAAGTCAGTGTACGCTGAGGAATGACATCTTTCCATTGTGTGACTTGGTGAGCGTGAATTTTGGGCAGAGGCACATATGTGGTCTTGTGGTGCAACCCAATGAAAATCTGTTCCACAGCGATTCTTCCTTAATTGCCATTCTTATGTCTATCAGACCAAGGGTGGGGAATGTCTGGCCCGTGGATTGTATGAGGCCCAAGAAATCATTTAGTCTGGCCTTGCCAAAGCATTAGGGGCGAGTTAATTAAATATTTGACCAAATATAGCAGAGCTAAATTTTAAATTGATGATTTTGTATGGCCTGCAAATGATGTTATAAATGCCCAAATGGCCCTTGGCAACAAAAAGTTTCCCCGCCCCTGCTCTAAACAGTACTAGGTAAGCATTGGAGAGTCTTGGTTTTCAGTTTGCCTTGTCAGAGTGGATGCTACTTTCCTTTTCTTGTTAACTGTATTTTACTTACATCTCTGTACCACCAGAATATACATTTTTCATACACAAGAACTCTGTCCTTCACTCCTACATCCTCTGGTATTAAAGGAGCAAATTGAGCAAATAAGCATTCCTTAGAATTTTTTAGTTATTGATCATATTCCAATTATACTTCCCTCTCTGTGGTTCTCTCAATCTCTGGGAGAATCATTTTTGTAATGGCTGCCTCCGTTCTTTACATTGGAGCTCTTCCTAATTCCATTCTCAGAGGTAGCTTCCTTTGGTTTTGGTGTTTGGGATTACCTTTCTGTCCCTTTTTACCTGCAGTCCACAATTAAAGCTGATCCCTAGATTCTGAATAATGTATAAAAACAGCACTCTCTTCTGTCAGCTTTATCACCTTATTGTCATTATTACCTGGGCATGGTGTTTCTTTCCAATGCAACATTCAAAATATAAAGTGGCTAGAAAAAGTTTGCTAAAGTAATATGTGACATATTAAAAACAATAAGATACTTTCAGTGAATAGGGAAAAGAACAAGAAATGTATTGGTTGTGTATTTTATTAGTTTATAGAAATGTTCAAATATTCCCGAATTGATATGCAGACCATAGAATGTTAGACATGGATGTTGGAAACTGTTGAAAGTGATCTGCATAAAGGCAGTAATTCTTGGTAAAGCCTTTGATAAATCTCTAGAATTCTTTATCAAATGGGTAATTAAGAGAAACTAAATGTTTAGCACATTTTCTAATAGTCTGGGATTAGTGTTGTAAAGTCAGCCCGTCTTTCTTATAGCTTTTTGAGCTACTTTCTGCCTAGTGCAAAGTTAATGAAATAACGAGGGTCCATTCTCATGAATCATTAACTGTGCCCTTGATCTTGTCTCCCTGTTATATCCTCTTTTCTCTTAGGTACACGTCCTCACAAGTGCCCAGACTGTGACATGGCCTTTGTGACTAGTGGAGAATTGGTGCGGCATCGTCGTTACAAACACACCCACGAGAAGCCATTTAAGTGTTCCATGTGCGATTACGCCAGTGTAGAAGTAAGTATTTAGCTTGTTGGCTACTCTTAAGAAGGTCATGATACCAGGATGAGGATATAAGCTACCCAAACTGATTTAAGATGAGATAGAAAATCTTATTAGATTATTAAAACCCCCTTTCCCCACTGCCAATGGAAACTAATGAGTATGAAAGATTTACCCTATAAAAAAGAGCACAAGTTCCACATGTCATTATAGGCAACTTCTAAACTTCACCGAAACAAATAACTATTTAAAAATGAGAGTTTTATTATCTTTATTATTTGAGACTACCCTGTTATCAAAACTGGATAAGGATAACTACCAAAAAGGTAACTATCTTATTCTCACAGAAAAGCAAATACTCTAAGTAAAATAAGCTTTTAAATCAAATATAGTAATATATTTTTAAAAATAAGTGACTACTGCTGAAACCCTTGGCTCAGTGGATAGAGCATCGGCCTGCAGACTGAAGGGTCCCAGGTTTGATTCCGGTCAAGGGCGTGTACCTTGGTTTGTGGGCGCATCCCCGGTGGGGAGTGTGCAAGAAGCAGATGGTCGATGTTTCTGTCTCATTGATGTTTCTAACTCTATCCCTCTCTGTTTCTCTCTGTAAAAAATCAATAAAATATATATTTAAAAATAAATAAATAAAAATAAGTGACTACTTCTCTGGCTATTAGTGCTCTGTGGTTAGTGTGTCGGCCCATGCACAGGTTTGAGTACATACCTCGGTTGCAGGTTCAATCCCTGGCCCTGGTTGGGGTGTGTTAGGGAGGCAACAAATCCATCTCTCTCATTCTCCCCTCCCCCACTTTGTTCCACTCTCTCTAAAAACATCCTGGGAAGAAGATTAACAAGACAAAAAAAAGTGATTGCTAAATAGAATATTTCTAAAATGCAAGAACAGTTCAACATTAGGAATTTATTAGTGTGAATGACATTGAGAGATTTTTAAAAACCATATGATCATTTGTATAGATTATTGAAAAACTAAATTTCAATAATCAGTTACTGTCTAGTAGAAGGAAATGTCTTTACTATAAGGAGTATATATCAGAAATCCATAGTAAACTCTAACTCTAAAATATTGAAAGTATTCCAATTGTAACAAGACATCCATCTTATTATTTCAGCATTGTATTGGAAATCCTACCTAATAGAATAAAATAAGAAATGAATGATAAATGAAAAAAACAAAATTGTCATTTCTTTCAGACATATTTCCTTATAGAAAATTCAAAAGTATTAACCAAAAAACTTAAAGAGTAGTAAGTGTTCAGTTGGGTTACCAGATACAAGGTAAGTACACAGAAATCAGTGACTTACCTTATACTATCAATAATAGAAAACAGGTTCTAGCAAGCAATACAATGATTTAGAGATAAAATGAACAATAAAAAACATCTGATACCTATGTGAAGGAAACTTGATTTTTCTGAAGGACATTAATAAATTAGACACTACAAGTTCTGATTTTTTTTTAAAACATATTTTATTGATTTTTTACAGAGAGTAAGAGAGAGGGATAGAAAGCTAGAAACATCGATGAGAGAGAGACATCGATCAGCTGCCTCTTGCACACCCCCTACTGGGGATATGCCCGCAACCAAGGTACATGCCCTTGACCGGAATCAAACCCGGGACCCTTCAGTCCCCAAGCCGACGCTCTATCCATTGAGCCAAATCAGTCTCAGCTAGACACTACAAGTTCTAAATTCAACTGAAAGAATAAATATAAATGACTTAAGAAAATTTGAAAAAAGGAGGGATTTGTGCAATTGGATGTTGTGAAAACCATATAGTAGTAAATGAAGACACTGTGATATTGGAGCAGAAATAAAAAGCTTGTTGGGACCGAATAGAGTCTTATGCACATAGGAATTTAATGTGTGATAAGGAGGCAAATCTTGAAAAGAGAATTATTCTGTAATGCTGTTGGAACCATTGTTAAGCCACTTACAGTCTGAAAATTTTCTATGAGTGCAAGGGGATTAATGAGTGTATTGAAAGCACTTAGAATCAAGTTTGAAAGTCACCATTTTGTTGAAAAGGTATGCATAGAAGACGAAGACTATAGTCAATAGTGAGGAACATAAGTGAGAGGCCCCGGAAGCCTGGCCTGTCTGGGAAGTGCTCATGATGGGGAGAGAGGACGAGGGGAATTATAACATGCTTACTAATTCAGATTCAAGTTTTGGAAGAAAATTGATGAGCACAGATTATTTTTAAACTATTAATGGAAAAATTCAAAAATATAAAAGTAAATAGAATGGTATATAATATACCCCCATGTCCCTATTATCCAGCTTAAAGTTATTAATGACCAATCTTGACTATGCATGCCCCTGTCCATTTACTCTCTTCCCTTAGATTACAGTATGGATTTAAGAAACAAAGATTATAAAGAATGAGGAAAAGATACTGTGTTTTAGACTTTTTCTGTATTCTGATCTTCAGTGTCCAAAAGCTACACTTTTGTGCCTAACCCACAGCACTCATGTTACAATTTGTTAATTAAAGTGTAAGAGGTTTGGTTGCTTTCATGTTTCAGGTCAGCAAATTAAAACGTCACATTCGTTCTCATACTGGAGAGCGTCCGTTCCAGTGCAGCTTGTGCAGTTACGCCAGCAGGGACACATATAAGCTGAAAAGGCACATGAGAACCCATTCAGGTAGGATTTCCTCCCTCCTTGCTTTTCAGTGGGTTCTGTGACACCCTGTGAACCACCACATGCCCCTGGAAGTATTATCATTCATGAGTGCCTTTCTGGCTTATCTGCTGAATTCATTGTTCTGAATATGCATTGAAGAAAGGAAAGTGTTTACTGTTGAAATCTGGGTAGACTACCTAACCCAGCTCATTCAGTTTTCCTAAAAGAAACATCTACCTGTAGGTCCTCCTGTCATCCCATGTGCTTTCCCCAAAAGGTAAGCATTGCTGTGGCTACTACTCTTTCTTTGTTTCTTTTTTTTCTTTTTCATTTTGGAAATATTTTTTAAATTCTCCTATTATTTTTTTTTTTAAAACAAATGGCCCTAGGGATAGGAGACCCAGGGGGAGCAGGGAGGAGGGGAAATGAGGCCCCAGCCCCACAGCCCTTCCCACCCACCTCTTTTCCCTTTATCCTATATAATAACGAGGTAATATATAAATTGACCGTCACTCTAACACATAAGGTAGCCACCCTTATGTGGACACAGATGGCCAGCAGGGTAGGGCAGTTGTGGGCAATCAGGCTTGCAAGGGATGGCAGTTGGGGGTGATCAGGCCTGCAGAGGAGGGCAGTTAGGGGTAACCAGGACAGCAGAGGAGGGTAGTTGGGACCAACCAGGCCAGCAGGGGAGAACAGTTAGGGAAACCAGGTCAGCAGGGGAGGGCAGTTAGGGGTAACCAGGCTGGCAGGGGAAGGCAGTTAGGGGCAATTGGCCCAGAAGGGGGGCAGTTAGGTGTTGATCAGGTTGGCAAGGAAGTGATTAGGGGCAATCAGGCAGGCAGGCGAACTGTTGGGACCCAGCAGTCCTGGACTGTGAGAGGGATCCCAGATTGGAAAGGGTGCAGGCTGGGCTAAGGGACAAATAACCCCACATCCCTCCCCATCATGAATTTTGTGCACCTGGCCTCTAGTATATTTATAATCTATAAACAAGGCCTGGGGCAGTGGTCGGCAAACTCAGTCAACAGAGCCAAATATCAACAGTACGATTGAAATTTCTTTTGAGAGCCAGATTTTTTAAACTTCTTCTAATGCCACTTATTCAAAATAGACTCAGCCCAGGCCGTGGTATTTTGTGGAAGAGCCACACTCAAGGGGCCAAAGAACCGCATACGGCTCGGGAGCCACAGTTTGCCAGCCATGGGCCTAAGGGAATAGGGGCAAGAACTCCCTGAGCAGGGTGGAGGCAACCTAGGCTCCTTGTCCCCTTGGGATCCAGGCTCTTCTGCCTGGCGGGAAATCCCTTCTCAGGAAGGTGGCCCTGTCTGCTCCCAAGGCTGTGGCATCCAGCATAGGGCATTAGGTGGGGAGGCCTGAGGGGCAGGCGCATGGGAAGAGGAAGTAGAGCTCCATTCATATGGGAGGTCAGGAATGGAAGTGCAGTTTCGGATGGCAGCATGAGAATTCAGACTTGGGGAAGTAGGCTTTCTCCCTCACCTGCTGGTAAAGGTCAATGTGCTGGGTGCAGAAGAACCCGCTATAGGTGGAGGTTGGGGCATTGAGATAGGAACTGAGTCCTACCCTCTAATATTAACAACTCTGTGGCAGCAGTTTGTTTGCCAAGCTTAGCCAGTTAGTGGACCTGAGCCTCAGTCTTCCTGAGTTAAGACCTAAAGATTCTCTGTGGCTTTACATATCTGCCTCCTGAGTTGCCCTCCAATTAAATGATAGTATTTAGTCATTTCATCTAATTTATTCATTCTTCATTTCTTCTTTAGGGGAAAAACCTTATGAATGTTATATTTGTCATGCGCGATTTACCCAAAGTGGTACCATGAAGATGCACATTTTACAGAAGCACACAGAAAATGTGGCCAAATTTCACTGTCCCCACTGTGACACTGTCATAGCCCGAAAAAGTGATTTGGGTAAGTAAATTAGTGGCAACTGAGGGGAAAAAAACATTTTGAAGGGTTAGGGAAACTATGAAGATTATAAATAACTTCATTTTTTCTAATATATTTTTATTGCTTTCAGAGAGGAAGAGGGTGGGAGAGAGAGAGAGAAACATCAATGAGGAGAGAGAATCATTGATTAGCTGCCTCCTGCACGCCCCCTACTGGGGATCGAGCCCGCAAACTAGACATGTACTCTTGATCAGAATTGAACCTGGGTCCCCTCAGTCCACAGGCTGCTGCTCTATACACTGGGCCAAACCAACTAAGGCCATAAATAACTTCTTTATCTGACTTGTATAAGTTTGTGTATGTGCATGGCCTGCCACTTAATAAAAGCTATTGTTTAGCTGCTATTTTTTTTTCTATCTCTTCTTTCTCTTCCTGCATATAGCTCATCTATAAATTAATGGAGCTCTAATAAAAAGAAACAGTATACCTTTAATTAGTAGCCAGAATGTTTAAGTCTCCAAGTAGATAAGTGACATAGTATGAGTCAAACTAAGGTCAGTCTAAGTCAGATTTTTCAAAATGTTTATGTTTTCTCTGAGTAATTAATTCTGTTTTATTGGTAACTGATAACTATAATCATGTGCATAATTAAGCTAGAGTTTATATAGAGGCAGAGTTTAGCAGCAGAAATTTTAGTATGTTATACTTAGAGATATGGTCACCTGGAATTCTCAGTTTGTTTTTCTTATTTTAAAAAAGATTAAAAATATATACTGCCCCAGTCTGTTCTCTGTCCTTAAAAGTAATTATTACAAACGTTTTTGACATTTAGATACTTTACAAATTGCCCATGAGCTGTCAAAAGTAGTAGTTTTTGCTTTTTTACCCTTTTGATCTTCACAACAATCATATTAAATTATCAAGGCATGTATTCTAGTTTTATAGGTGTCTTTATCAAAAGCCACACAACATACCTCATGAGTAACAAAGCTGGACTTGAGTCCTTTTTGGTTGTTTCTTGCACTAGGGGCAATATATAAGTACCCAGGTTGCATCAGGAACATAGATTTAAAGGCACTGTCCTCTGATAAAGTTTTACTGTTCTTATTATATAGCAACTAAAATCTAAACCAATAATATCTCATGGCAGTGTGTGAGCTGTTAGGCCACTGTCTGGATATGCAAATTTATCTCCCAAAATTAATCCCAAAGAAGTATGTGTTTTCTCTTTAAAGCAGGCCTGATTTCACTCTTATATGCAGTAAATAAAATTATTCACTTTGTGACACAGGAAAGCGTGGGCTTTGGAGACAGACCTATTAGAATCAAGATTCACTTCCAAATATTTATTACTATGAGCCCCCTCCTCCCTCAACTGATGTACAGGAATAATACCTATCTTACAGGACTGTTATTACAGGTATTTTAATAAGAATGTATGAAAGAGAGGTAGGCCTCTGTCAGAGGACCAGAAGGGAAAAATTTAGGCCTAAAAATTATTTGAAATATATACATATATATAAAAGGCTTTAAGCACTGGCCTGTTTGGCTCAGTGGATAGACTGCCGCCTGCAGACCAAAGGGTCCTAGGTTCAATTCTGGTCAAGGGTGTGTACCTTGTTTGCAGGCTTCTTCCTGGCCCGGACTCTGGGTGGTTTCTCTCACATCGATGTTTCTCTGTCTTTTCTTCTCTCTCCCATTCTTTATTTAAAAAAAAAAAAAGGCAATAGAAAAGAAATATCCTTGAGTGAGGATTAATAATAAATAATAGCCTTCATATAATGAACATGTATAGCCAACCCTTCTCTTACTCATTTCCATTCCCCAGAATTGGCCCTCGGTAAGTTTGATATATTGCCTTGATTGAATCAGATTGGTAGCACCATAAATTCATGATCCCAAATGCAGCTGACAGGGCTCATTGCTCCTAGACAGTCCAACTATTTATCCTTGTCAGGAGTGCTCCCATTTTCCTCGGTGAGTTTGTTCATTGATTCATTCCACAAATGTTTAGGTGCCTGCTGTGTGGGAGGCACTATGACAGTTAGGTAAATCACTCTCTTTAAGCCTCTAATCTTCCCTTTTCTGTCTCTCCGGTGTCAGTGAGTGACCTCTTTTTTACTTAAAAATAAAATTAAGGCAGCAGGTTGAAACTCCAGATTTTCTCTTATCAAACCTGTGTCTATATTCATCCTCCCTAGTCCCATCTTGTCTGAGGTCTGTCCCTTTGCGTTTGCCTTGATCCCATTCTCCTCTCATGGCAGCGTTTAACACCATCAATCTTGCCTCAGTAACTTCCGCTCATGTTCTCACTCCTTGATGTATCCCCTCAACTCTAAGCATGCTTGTGCCTATTCTATTTTTATTTATTATTGATTTGAGAGAGAGAGACAGACAGACAGACAGACAGACAGACATCAGTGTGAGAGGCAATCAATCACTTGCCTCCCGTACACACCCTGAGCAGGAACCGAGCCCACTACCTTTTGGTGTACAGGACACTCCAACCAACTGGGTCATGCCAGCCAGGGCTTCCTCTTCTGTCTTTAAAAAACTGTTCCCCTTCCAGGTTTATCTTTTAGGACCCTGTGTGGTGAACATAGGGAACATGCTCTTACCCTTGCTCTCAGCACCATTTTTTGTAGTGGTGTGTGCCCTTCTCTTTTGTTTTGTTGTTTTGTTTTTCATATTGTTTTTTTGCCCCCCTCCTTAAAACACTTTTTACCCTTGGCTTTCATGGCACTGCATCCTGTTGGCTTGGGCTTGTTTCTCTGTTCGTTCTCATGTTTTTCTTATTTTAACCCTTTTCCTTTTACTGGCATTAAATTTTAGATTTCTTAAAATATGACTCATTCTCTTCTTTTTCCATTCTTCACTTTTTGCTTAGTGATTTCATCCCATGGTCTCACTCAAATTCTAACATCTCCTGAATTTATGTTCCTTTGAGTTGGGCTTATATAACCATCTGTACCTTGCCATCCCTCTCCCTGCTTTGATGTTGTTGGCATTCCAAATGCAACATGTCAAAACTGAATCCCTGCCTTAGCTGGTTTGGACAGAGCATCAGCTTGAGGACTAAAGGGTCCCAGGTTTTGTTTTTGGTTTTCATTTGATTGTTTGTTTGTTTGTTTGTTTGTTTGTTTGTTTTAAATATATTCCATTGACTTTCTACAGAGAGGAAGGGAGAGAGATAGTTAGAAACATCGAAGAGAGAGAAACATCGATCAGCCGCCTTCTGCACACCCCCCTTTTTTAAGTTTCTTAACTGGTCTACTTAGTTTTCTGAGCTGGAAACCAGACAATTGTCCCTAACACCCACCTTCCTTTTCTGCATTCTATTACTAAATCCTGCTGATTCAACTTCCTAGATTCTCATCAATTCTTCCCCTTCTTCTCATGTCCATTGCTGTCATCCTTATCCAAGCCACCATCTTCTCTCATCTATCCTCTTTCAGCATCTTAACTGGTCGTCTCACCTTTGTAGTTATTCCTCCTTTTAATTAATTTTCTGTATAACAGCATAATCCTTTTAAGAAGCAGAAATAAATGCATTATTAACTTGTTGAAATACTTGCTTATGTTTTCACAATTTAGACTGGGCTCTGTATTTTGTTTTCAGGTGTCCACTTGCGAAAGCAGCATTCCTATATTGAGCAAGGCAAGAAGTGCCGGTACTGCGATGCTGTGTTTCATGAGCGCTATGCCCTCATTCAGCACCAGAAGTCACACAAGAATGAGAAGCGCTTTAAGTGTGACCAGTGTGATTACGCTTGCAGACAGGTAGAGACTCATGGTTACAAAGCAGTTGATGCCTCGTGGGTGTCAGGTTTCATCAAAGGCTTCTTACAAACCTTGTATGGTGGCTATTTTTAAGGATAATATGTTCAAACTATACTTTGTGAGGAATATCTTCAAAGGTTCTATTTATTATATCTCTTGTCTCCAGCTGATGTTTTATTCAGTCACAGCTTAGCCACTCCACCCCCACCTCAGGCAGACTGACTTCTTTCTCGAAACTGTGAAGATTAAGTTCAGGACTTGAAAGGGGGGAAGAATTTGGTCCTAGAGCCTGATGCTTGGGAAATGATCTAAAGAATCAGCCTGGCAGGAGTGGACATATCTGCCTGGGATTTATGGAAGTAGTTCCCCCCAGGAAAGATTAATTTATTTTTCCAACAAGCCTAGATCCTTGGGAGAGAAAAGCCTGTCAGCCATGTGCACACAGGTGGTAGCTGAGGTAGCAGCCCTCTGACACAGACTCTGAAGCCTCTGCCCCCACCCGCTTTTTCAGGAGAGGCACATGATCATGCACAAGCGCACCCACACCGGGGAGAAGCCTTACGCCTGCAGCCACTGCGACAAGACCTTCCGCCAGAAACAACTCCTCGACATGCACTTCAAACGCTATCATGACCCCAACTTTGTCCCCGCGGCCTTTGTCTGTTCTAAGTGTGGGAAAACATTCACTCGGCGGGTAAGAGCCAGAGCTTTACATCCTCTATTATGGTTCTTTTTTCTTTTTTCTCTTTTTAATTTATTGGGGTTACATGGTTAATAAAATTATATAGCTTTCAGCTATACAATTATATATCATCTGTATATTATATTGTGTGTTCACCACTTCAAGTCAAATTATAATGGTTCTTAATTATAATTGTGTTCTTGATCTTCCACTGCAAAGCATGACAGTTCTTCCCACTGAGGTAATAGACATAGAGGTGTTGTATCCATATGTGAACCTTCTGCTGGTAGCAAGTTCCCCAGTAGGTCTGTCCTGGGTCTTCATTGGAGACCATGTTGGTCAGACCATGTCAGCACAGGGCAGGGGGCTGGTCTGATCCTCCCGGGCCCCTTTTGCCTCATGCTGCTGAGCCCTCCACTCAGGCGACCCAGCATCATCTTCTGAAGGACTCCCCATTCTCTCCCTCCCTTCTTTCTCCCTCTTGTTCCCCTCCAAATGGAGATCAATTCCTTGAATGAGGAGAGCATATTTTAGGACATATTTTAGCAGATATTCAGACTTAATATAGATACTCCATTGTTTTTATTTTACTAAACTAAAGAGAACTTGCAGTGCTCATCTTCACTTTTTCAGCATTGTGAAAGAGGGTTTGTTCCTTTTGTTAGAATACCATGGCAAGACATGCTGATAATTGTGCTGGTCCAGATGGTGTAGAAGGGGAAAATGGAGGAGAAACGAAGAAGAGCAAACGTGGAAGAAAAAGAAAGATGCGCTCTAAAAAAGAAGACTCCTCTGACAGTGGTAAGTGCGTGTTTCTCGGTTTAGTTGAATATGGCAGATTTTGGTTCCAAGTTTATGTGTGGATATGCCGGGAAGTAGAAGTAGGCTAGGCTTCCTTTTAAACCTCTGATCTTCCTAGTGTGTGTATATTTACAACAGCAGTTAGTTTATTTCTGGGGCAATTTTTTTCTTTTTCTTTTTTCTAATGACATTCTAGAAATTGCTTAATAATACTTTCTAAGTTATGTTCCTTTAAAGCCAAAGCAAGATTAATATATTTGCTCAGTTTACTCAGATTAGTGTTATTTTAAGGACAGCAGAGTTTCTTTTCTATATTCACAACTTTCACATTTAGGAAGCTGCTCTAGATTTGAGCAATGAATCTAATGAACATGAAGTAGGTTGCTTAAAGCATCTTGATCAACTTCTGGTTTGACTGCTTCTGTCAGCCTACAGCCTACCTTGAGGTATATTGATCAGATTTGTTGAAGGTCAGCCTTCCTCTTCCTTAATCTCTTCATTTATGTTTTAAAACTTGGCCTATTTTCCTACCATTGATGCTCTTCGGGGTGTTTTTGCCTTTCTAGCCATGAAATCCAGGCAGAAGGTATGCTTTGAGGTGTTAGACTCATGAAGAGCGAGGGAGAACAGGAATGTTGGTAATGTAGGAGTTACATTTGAGGACACAGATTTGTTCCAAAATGTTAGATTCTACAATGTGGACACTTGGGCTACTGGCACCCAGTTGAGAAGGCACATCTGTGATTACAGATTTAAGCTTTTTATGGGAAAGAATGTAGAGAGGTTTTGTTTTGGGGATTGCACTTTCCCAGAAGCACTATCGACTGGGGAGATTACAAATGGTGCCTAATTGCTATTTCTAAGGATTCCCCATTTTGTTTTCTATGTTACTTGTTAGTAGAAGTAGTGAAAAGGGAACTAATTTTTTTTTAAATTAAATATATTAAAGACCTCATGGTTCTTAGGTTGATGCTCAACCACTGAGCCACACCAACTGGGCAGCAAAAGCATTTTTTAAATAGTCTTTTTAACAATGAAAATAAATACATAACTAAACTTCACATAGTATATGATTATTTGTGTGTGTGTTTTTTGTTTTTTTCTTCCACCACCTGTTGTCCCTGATTCAATAAGAAGAAAATGCTGAGCCAGACCTGGATGACAATGACGATGAAGAGGAGCCTGCTATGGAAATTGAACCTGAGCCAGAGCCTCAGCCTGTGACCCCAGCCCCACCACCTGCCAAGAAGCGGAGAGGACGCCCCCCTGGCAGAACCAACCAGCCCAAACAGACCCAGCGTAAGTCTCCCCTCCGTTACTGGCTGGCATCCTCTCCCAGCGCGGGGAAGCTATGCAGGTCCGTGTGCTTGGGGAAGATGAGAACTAAGCCATGAGACCAAGTTAGGGTCGTGCCAGGAACAAACTCAGGAAGCAAGTTGTTTTTGTTTGAACAACCAAAGCCACAGTCAGCTGGCAGAATTGATGGGTAATGAATGTAAAGGAGCCAAGCTTGAAAGGATGGGGGGAGAGCAGTTTCTCTGAGTAGGTTGGTCCTCCTATAAGAATCCCAGGCCTGTGATTTAGTTGCTGGCCCTCTGGTTGGTGAGCAGTCACTGAGGAGGTGGTCACCCTCCACTTCACACCACGTATGACAGTGGGGAGCAGCCCTGTTCTAGACACAGCCCTGGGAGAGCAGGCTCCAGGGAACTCAGGTCTCTGTTCTACTCATGGTTGTTCTAGATCTCCGAAAGCTGGTGTGTTTTGTTTTTTCTTCCTTTAACAAATGCAGAGCTTAACCTACTTTGTAAGTGTATTTACTGAGCCTCATGTATAGATGTATGTTACAGTGGGTGATTAACTATAGATCCTGGGAACCATTTCACCTGCACACACGTGAATGAACAAACTGGTGGGAGGGCCCTGGGTGTGGAAGAGCTACCATGTTTCCCCGAAAGTAAAACACATCCTCCGAAAATAAGACCTAGCTCAACTTTGGGAGAAAAATTAATATAAGACACTCTCTTATTTTCAGGGAAACAGGGTAGAATCAAATGAAAGACCTACATCACACATTCTATGATCCTGGTCATACTGTCTGCATTTTTGCCTATCTCAGACTTATTGCAAGGCCAAATTTGTGACATAAAGGAAGACTAAGTAAGGCTTTTAATATGTAGTTTGGGAGGCATATGAAAGCAACTGCCAGCATTTTGTTCTTTGATAGTTCCTAGTGTTTATGTGTGGCCACGTTTAGATCTTTGTCTTTTTTAATTGACTTGCTCTGTATAACTACGAAGACTTTCCCGGATTGCTAATATCCATTTAGTGTCAAGTCTGGGAGGACATTTGCCACCTTTTGAGGACTTTAATGGAGCATTTGTTTTGTTCGTGCCCCTTTTCACCAGCAACAGCTATCATCCAGGTTGAAGATCAGAATACAGGTGCAATTGAGAACATTATAGTTCAAGTAAAAAAAGAGCCAGATGCAGAGCCCGCGGAGGGGGAGGAAGAGGCCCCGCCCGCTGCCACAGATGCCCCCAACGGAGACCTCACCCCTGAGATGATCCTCAGCATGATGGACCGGTGATGGCAGGGCCTCGTCTTCACCAGGACTGCTCAGGGCTGTGTTTAAACGGCCTGCATCTTAATTTTTCTCCCTTTTTTCTTCTTTTGGCTTTGGGAAAAGCACCATTTTACACCGTTTTACCAAACATACTGAGAACTAAAACTCCAAGGATGATGTTAGGAAAATGTGATTTAACTAGAACTTGCCGTTTGATGTTAGCAAATCATGGAATGTCCCTGAGGGTTTACCAGGAAGTGCTGAGGACAGTGTTGATGCCTAACTGGTTTTCTTAGATGGAAACAGAGACATTGGACCCTCCTTCTGGCTATGGTAAACCACTCCAGAACAGCCACCGGGTTGCCCAGAATTCTACGGTCTTCTTCCCAGGAGAGTTTTTAATTGTAAATGCAGACTTGGGAAGGACTTAGACTTTTAAACTTGTTTTTTGCTTTTGCTTTTTCCCTGACTCCCTTTGCTTGGAGTCGGCTGCACACCAACAATATGGCATGCTACGATCAGTTTTTGTCCTGAAGGCTTTGCCTCTTTCTTGGCAAAGTTTCTGGTATGGTCAAGCTTGTAAATAACTTTTTTTACATTTTAATCTTTTCCATTAATTAAGAGGTTGAAAAGAAGTGCAGTGTGAGAAAACCCAGCATTTTAATTACTTGCAGATTAAGTTGCCACAGACTGTAGTTGTAAATGTTGACAAGGAATCGGATCGCAATCATGTAGCAGAACAGCACCCAGACTGCTGCCGCTAGACATGGACACCCACATGGAAGATCGTGATTTCCAGCCCATGGAGCCAGCATTTGAACCTTGTACAATTAACTTTCAGTTATGATTTCCCATCCACGTTTTCTTTGCTCTGTTTGTAGCTGAATTTTCTGTTTTATAAATCCTCTGTTAAAGCAGAAGGGTGATTATGAGCAGGTCACAGCAGTCCCTTAAAAGCTGGGCCAGAAATTTTCATTAGGTCAGTAATTTAAACTTTGGATATGCAAATTTAAAAAAAAGGTTAATAATGTGAAGCGAAACAACTAAAAATGATTCTTGCACATGAACTGTCATGTTTAAAATGTGTTTTTTAGAGAGCCTCAGTCTTGTTGATTTCAAACACTTTTTTCTTCTGTGTATTGCTTTTAAGAGAGCCATCAGTTAGCTGTCAGGCTCTAGGTTGATACATTTTGTACTTAGCTGTACTGTGTGATATTTTTCATTATTTTAGGACACCAACATGAGACCTGTAATAAAATATGTAATGGGGTTGAAAGCTGGGGAGGAGGATCTACTGCTGTACAGCTAATAAATCATAACGGATTAACAGTGCTCCAACACTGTCTTGTGTGATTCCTGTCTTGTGAGAAGCCCAAAGAGGTCCTCCTGTGCGGCTTCAGGTGGGACAGGCCTGAGGTACAGGCAGGCTGCGGGACCACTTCCTCCTCAGCAGATGGGAGGTGATCTTGGCAGATGGGATACTAAGTGCATCCTGTTCCAAGTTTTAACTCCCTGAAGGTGTGTGTGTCAGTGGATGGACATCTGCCGTTCTCCATGAGCCACTCACTTTAGGGGGGTTCCCCGTGGCCAAGGGGGTGGGCCACAGAGCTTAAGAGTAGAAGGGGCTGATGGGAAGCTCTGTCCTCAGGATCTCCGCTCAAAAAGGATTGGGATCAGTACCTCAAGCTCTGCCAAGTACAAGGGAACAGAGGGAAGCTGGCCAGTCGGTCAAAGAAATAGATTTGACAGGGAGACAGAATGATCACCAGGAGAGACTTCTGGACAGTCATCTCCAGGAAAGTATCATCTGGGGCCTCAAGACTATACCAGGCAGTCAAGTATTTCATCTCCATCCCATTCACAGGCTAGCTCCCACAGGGACCAAGTACCCCCAACTAGAATTCTCTCACAGCACGTGGCTTTTAACAATTGTTAGGTATTTATAATAGAAAATCTCTGTAGAACGCACATGTTTGTCTTCAGCAGAGCTTTTATTTCTCATTGTTTGGAAGTTTTAAATGTGGGTTTTAGATAGAGGGAGTCCAAGAAAAGAGACACGCTAATAGTTGAGGCTGAAAAGGGATTCCCATTGATAATCCTATGTGACTTCATTAAAAATAAAATTCTGGCCCCAGCCAGTTTGGCTCAGTGAATAGAGCGTAGACGTGCAGATTCAAGGGTCCCAGGTTTGATTCCGGTCAAGAGCACATGCCCGGGTTGCAGGCTTGATCCCCAATTGGGAGCGTGCAGGAGGCAGCCAATTGATGATTCTTATCATTCAGTTTCTAATATCCCTCGTCCTTCCTCCCTGAAATTAATAAAAAAGTTAAAAATAAAATAATAAAACTCTGCTGGTGTGGCATTGACCCATGAACCTGGAGTTCACAGTTCGATTTCCGGTCAGATCACATGCCTAGCTTGCAGGCTCAATCACCAGTAGGGGATTTTTCTATCCTTTCTCTGAAATAAATGTTTTTTAAAAATAGCCCTGACTGGTTTGGCTCAGTGGATAGAGTGTCAGCCTGTGGACTGAAGGGTCCCAGATTCGATTCCAGTCAAGGGCATGTACCTTGGTTGCAGGCACATCCCCAGTGGGAGATGTGCAGGAGGCAGCTGATCCAATGTTTCTAACACTCTATCCCTCTCCTTCCTCTCTGTAAAAAAATCATATATATATATATATATATATATATATATATATATATATATATTATATTTAAATATATAATATATAATATATATTTATAATATATAATATATATTTATAATATATAATATATATTTATATATAAAAATACATAAAACCTTCAGCAAAAGCCATTCTCATTATTACTCTATACCTGAGACCTTATGGGGAAGTTCCCTGGCCTGTCTACTCTTCCCCACTGTTAAACCGTAGTAGGTACTGGAGTAAAGAATAGTTACATCTAAGTGATGTTGCCCATCCCCTGCTGCCCAGCTCTTGTCTTTTAAAACCATCTGAGGGAGCCTTGTGGCGATGACGGAGGTGCAGCCTGGCCCGTCAGTCAGCCAGCCTGTGCCACTGGAGCAGGCGGAGCCTATTCCTTATTATGACCTTTTAGCGTTTCCTGCGTGCCCACGGAGTGTCATGTTGTCTGGAACATAGAAGCCGGCCTGAACAAACTGAAGGCCTCCCCCTCTCCCTGAGTCACTCACTGCTTGCTGGAGCCGAGTCCCATGTGTTTACTTGGTCTATGTGCTTTGTCTCTGTGACCCTGAGTGCCAGCAGTTAATGAGGGTTTGTGGCTAGCTCAGCACCCCTGGTCTGCTCTACATGCTGGTCCTGGTTTCCTTCTCCGTAGCCCCCTGTTCCCTCCCAGCACTGAGGCCTTCCCCCACCCCCACCCCCAACCAGAGTCTCCGCCTAGGGAACAGCTCCAATCCTTTGGCAGTCATCCCCTCTTTTAGTTCTCATCCTTGTTATTCTAAACAGGAAAATCCTAATGAGGTGGCGTTTTTGTGGTTGTTTTGGAATCCTGGGGTTGCCATGGTAGACTTGGCACATGTGAGTGTTCACTGAGTGCCAGGCACTGTTCTGAGCACCTCTCTTAATATTTAATCCTTACAAGCAACACTTGGAGATAAGTGAATAGCTCCAGCTGGGACTGGAAGCCCAGAAAGGTTAAGGAACTTAATGTCAAACTGCTGGTCAGAGAGGGAACCAGGATTTGAATTCAGGCAGTCTGCCTTGAGAACCTGCATTTTTGGCCACGTGGCCATCGTGAGTTCTCACCCTACAAGCAGTTTGTAGGTTCTGTGTGGCCTTCCAAAGAGTTCGATCTTAACCAGCTCTTGACTCCTTTCAAATTGGAAAGCAGCGGAACAGGACTTGTTGCCTTGGTGGGCAGAAATTCATAGATCTCTCTCTCCAGCTGAGTCCTCTCATCAGCTCTCAAATCTCAAACTATGAGCCTGTTGCTTGAAGGGAGAGATGGCTGCCCCCAAATAGATAATATTCAGTTTCTACTTCCCACTTTGTCCCAGTCCTTGGTGGACCTGAACAAAGGGAGATGAGAAAGTGCTCCCATTGTCTCTGAGCCCCAAAGAGAGGAGGGGTACTAGAGCTGGGAAAGGAGCCAGGGAGATTTCTGCCCAGTATCTCTCACCTACCTGTGCCAGGCTGAGCTGTGCAGGGCAGAGAATGTTCTTAATCCATAAGTAATGGAAGGGGGAGGGGGGGATTAATCCCCTCGTGTGAACCTTCCAAAATCTAGGCCCCTGGTCTTTTATGAGGCAGCGTGCTCCTCAGGCTGATCCCTTCCAGCCCTGAAGACAGTAGCTTTCCTCTCTCCTCGTGGTTCCCCCACCACCACCACCACCACATCCAGGTCAGGAAGAAGGCACACTCAGAGGAGGATCCCACCCCCCGTGCTCCCGGCCCCCTTCATTAGTCACTCCATCCCTCCCTGAAGCCCTCGGGTTTTAGGTTTTAGCCCAACGCTGCCCCTGGAGCACACACACGTGGGCTTTCTCGCCTGACCCAGCTGAACCTGATGAAAGCTGCGGAACCTCTGCCACAGAGAAGGGGGCCACAGCCTCCAGGTTAGAGGTAGTAACGGATTCGGGCCTCCAGGTTAGGACCTGACCCGGGTGTTGGGAGAGATGCCACACTCCCGCTCATGCAGACGCCCCTTCCTCCTCACCCCTCACCCCACCCCCCATGTTCACCTCCCCAGCTGGGCTTTCCAGGCTACTGACCAGGGTGGGCGGCGGAGGGAATCCCCGAGCGGACAGCACCCCGTGGTGGCCGCTGCAGGGACTGCGGCCTGGGGTAGGAGCAGGGGGCTAGAAGCCGCTAGCGGGACGGACGCGTGCGCGACCCCGCAGGCCACGCCATCCCGCCCGTCGGGCCTGGCGGGTGAGCTCCTGCGCGACGGCGTGGACGGGCAGTCGGGGCTCTGCCTCCCCGTTAAGCGGGCGACCTCTCCGGGCCGCGGCGGGAGGGCGGGGAGGAGCCGGGCCGGGGGCGGCCGGGCAGGAAGCGGCGCGCACCTTCCGCTGCGAGAGGAGCAGGTGGCTGCAGTGCGGGCCGGGCCCGGGCTTCCTGTGCGCGCCCGCCGGCTGCCGTCTCTCCTCCGAGCTCCTGGGGCCTCCCTGGCGGCCGCCTGGCCCGGCCCCATGGCCCAGACCCCCGACGGCATATCCTGTGAGCTGCGAGGTAAGCGCGGGCCCTGCTTTACCCGCTTGTTTGGGGAGGAAGCAGCAGTGCGGGGCCCCAAAACCAGGCCGGCCCAGAGCCCTGCGGGTGCCGGGCAAGCACTGTTTCTCTTGGCTCCTTTGAGGGCTTGCTAACCCCGAGACCTCCTTGCTGGCCCATCAATGAGCCCAGGCCCCTAGCCTGGTATAGACCGTGGGCATGCACTGACCTCCATGGGAGGACTGGAGTCATCCGGCAGGTTGCCCTCCCACAGGCGAGATCACCAGGTTCCTGTGGCCCAAGGAGGCAGAGCTGCTGCTGAAAACCTGGCTTCCAGAGCGGGAGGGCGCTGAGCAAGGTCACGTCCTGGTATGGCGGGGGCACAGAGCCCGGGAGGGTGCTGTGGCCCAAGCAGCAAGAGCCTTTGGCCCCCCCGAACAGGGCGTCAGGCACTCTCTCCCCGCAGGCCCTGCTGCGATGGAGAGCCTACCTGCTCCACACCTGCCTCCCATTGAGGGTGAGTCAGGCCCTGGCCGCTCACCACCCACCGTGCCCTCCGGCAGCTTCCTGACAAGAGGCTGCAGCCCTGTCTGCCTTGTCCCGTGGGCTCTGCCCTTCAGCGGCACTGGGCTCGGGCGGCAGCTGCACTGGAGTCCAGGCCCGTCGGGGGCTCCCGGGAGGGGGGCTCGGGCCTCGGTCCCGGCTGACCCAGGCCCTCCGCAGGTGGACTGCACGTTCAGCTACCTGGAGGTCCAGGCCATGGCTCTGCAGGAGACACCCCCTCAGGTGAAAACCTCAGTGTCCGCTTGGCCTGCCTTCCCTTCCTCCTTCCTTCCCTTCCCCTCCCCACTCACGGAGCCCAGCCCGGCCCACCCCGCCACCTGCTCTCCCCAGGTCACTTTCCAGCTGGAGTCCCTGCCGGAGCTGGTGCTGGAGTTTCCCGGCGTGGCCGCCCTGGAGCAGCTGGCCCAGCACGTGGCTGCGGCCATCAAGAAGGTCTTCCCTCACTCCACCCTGGGGTGAGGCCCAGCGGCTGCCAGGGCCGGGCGGGGGAGGGGGTGGCGGGGGGGGGGGTGCCATGGAGAGACAAGCTCCACAGCCCAGAGGTGGGAGCGCCTTTCCCTTCTCCTTCTCCCCCCCTCCTCCCCCTCAGAAAGCTGTTCCGCAAGCCCACGCCGCCCGCCATGCTGGTGCGTCTGGAGAGCAGCAGCCCCTCAGAGGCCACCTCCCCCAGTAGCCCCTGCGGTAAGGAATCCCGGTGGGGATTCCAGCCTCCCCCTTCCTGCAGCCCCCGCCCCCAAGGTTTGGGGGTCCCCCAAACTGAGCAGAGCCACTTGAGTTCCCGCCAACCACCCAGCCGGGGTCTGATCTGCACCATCTTTTGTCTCTCTCCTCTCCCCCCGCCCCCCACCTGACCCTGTCGAACCCCTGGCACACACACCCCCCCCACCCCCAGGTGGCTTCTTGGAGACATACGAGGCTCTGTGTGACTACAATGGCTTCCCTTTCCGAGAGGAGATTCAGTGGGTGAGGGCAGGGCCCTCTCTGGGGGGGAGGGGGGTCCTTTGAAGTCATCTCAGCCCCCGTGGGCATGAGTCCCTCCCTGCTGCTCGCGGCCGGAGCCCGCTGAGACACTCGCTTCCCGCCCAGGACGTGGACACCGTCTACCACCGCCAGGGCTGCCGCCACTTCAGCCTGGGAGACTTCAGCCACCTGGGCAGCCGGTGTGTGGCCTGCCAGGCCCGGGCGGGGAGGGAGGGGCCGTGACCCACATTCCTGAGCCCCAGCCTCTCCGTGGAGGGGGGTGCCGGGCTGGAGACCGGGCCGGAGGGCCCTGAGCTCTGCCCCTGCCCCTCTCCCGCCCAGGGACCTGGCACTGAGTGTGGCTGCCCTGTCCTACAACCTGTGGTTCCGGCGACTCTCCAGTGTGGACGTGAAGCTGGTAAGAGGGCAGGAGCGGGGGGGGGGGGGGGCGGGGGGAGGGGAGGGAAGGGGTACGAGGGTGTGGGGACCAGGGTGCAGCCCACTGAGCCTCCCCTCTGACTCTCAGAGCCTGGAGGTCCTGGAACAGATTCTGCACATGATGAGCCAGTCGGCCCACCTGGAGGAGCTGGTGCTGGAGGCCTGTGGCCTGCGGGGGTGAGGGGGACTGGGAGGGCTTGGGAGCAGGGGGGTCCGGGATTGGGAGGAGCTGGGAATCCAGAGTCTCAAGCCTGGGGTCTGGTCCCCAGAGACTTCGTCCGGCGACTGGCCCAGGTGCTGGCGGGCCACCCCAGCTCCGGGCTCCGGGAGCTCAGCCTGGCGGGGAACCTGCTGGACGATCGAGGTATGGCTGGGCCTGGGGAGGTGCTGGGGGAGGAGGGGGTGCCTGCTGGTGCTGGAGGAGGTGGGACCCACAAGCCCCTGTCCCCAGGCGTGGCTGCCCTCAGCAGACACCTAGAGCATTGTCCTGGAGCCCTGAGGAAGCTCAGCCTGGCACAGACGGGGCTGACACCTCGAGGTGAGCAGAGCCAAGAAAGGGGTGGGGTTGGGGTTGGTGGAGTGAGTGTGGGTCCGCCTGAGCCACCCCCTCCTCCACCCCCAGGCATGAAAGCTCTGGGCCGGGCCCTGGCTTCCAATACGGCCTTCGACCAGGCCCTGACCCACCTGGACCTTTCGGGAAACCCCGGGGCCCTGGGGGCCTCCGAGGACAGCGGGGTGAGTGGTCTTTCAGGGGCAGTGATCGGGGGCGCTGCAGGTAGTGAGTGGGGGGTCAGAAAGCTCTTAGGGAGGCGATTCCTCACTCCTTTCCCCTCTCCCACCCCCTCCTGCCGCCAGGGCCTCTACAGTTTCCTGGGCCGCCCTAACGCTCTGACCGTCCTGAACCTGGCGGGCACCGACGCCGCCCTGGACATTGTGAGGAGGCGGTCAGGGGGCGGGCCCGGGGCAGGGGGTGGTCAGTAGGGCTGGGGGATGGGGCTGAAGCCGGTGGGCAGCCTGGAGGGCAGGCCTGGGGGAAGGGGTGGTCAGTAGGGCTGGGGGATGAGGCTGAGGCCAGTGGCAGCCTGGAGGGCAGGCCTGCGGGGAGGGGGTGGTCAGTAGGGCTGGGGGATGAGGCTGAGGCCGGTGGGCAGCCTGGAGGGCAGGCCTGGGGCAGGGGGTGGTCAGTAGGGCTGGGGGATGAGGCTGAGGCCAGTGGCAGCCTGGAGGGCAGGCCTGCGGGGAGGGGGTGGTCAGTAGGGCTGAGGCCGGTGGGCAGCCTGGAGGGCAGGGGTGGCGGGGAGGGGGTGGTGTGTAGGGCTGGGGGATGAGGCTGAGGCCGGTGGGCAGCCTGGAGGGCAGGCCGGCGGGGAGGGGGTGGTCAGTAGGGCTGAGGCCGGTGGGCAGCCTGGAGGGCAGGCCGGTGGGGAGGGGGTGGTGTGTAGGGCTGGGGGATGAGGCTGAGGCCAGTGGGCAGCCTGGAGGGCAGGCCGGCGGGGAGGGGGTGGTCAGTAGGGCTGAGGCCAGTGGCAGCCTGGCGGGCAGGCCTGCGGGGAGGGGGTGGTCAGTAGGGCTGGGGGATGAGGCTGAGGCCGGTGGGCAGCCTGGAGGGCAGGCCGGTGGGGAGGGCTCAGTCCTGCGGCCGGTGCAGCCTGCACCTCCTCCCGCAGCTCTTCGCCGCGCTGGCCCGCGGCTGCTGCGCCAGCCTCGCCCGCCTGGACGCCTCCCGGAACGTCTGCTCCCGCACGTGAGGAGGGGGCGGGGGTAGGGGCGGGGGGTGGGGGGTAGGTGGGGGGGCCGCCTCCTGCGCCCGGAAGCCCACTCCCCCCGCTCCCCCCAGGAAGGCCCGGGCCGCGCCCGCCTCGCTGCAGCTCTTCCTCGGCCGCGCGGGGGCGCTGCGGCACCTGGCCCTGGCCGGCTGCAGGCTGCCCCCCGACGCGCTCCGGTGAGTGTCGCCCCCGCCTGGGCGGCCATCAGCCAAGCCAGGCTTCCAGCATTCCCGCCCCCTTCCATCCCCCCCCCCGCAATTCCCCCCTCCCTCCGCTCCTATCGGACCCGTCACCTTCCCAGCATCCTGGCCCTTCCTTATTTTTTATTTTTAAAAATATATATTTTATTGATTTTTTTTACAGAGAGCAAGGGAGAGGGATAGAAAGTTAGAAACATTAATGAGAGAGTAACACCGATCAGCTGCCTCCTGCACACCCCTCACTGGGGACGTGCCCGCAACCCAGGTACATGCCCTTGACCGGAATCGAACCCGGACCCTTGAGTCCGCAGGCCGACGACGCTCTATCCACTGAGCCAAACCGGTTTGGGCTGGCCCTTCCTTCCTGGTGTGCGTTGGGGTCCCAGGGGGTGGGGGGCCCTTTCCCGGCTCCCGACATCCCCGTGACACCCCCTCCCAGGGCCCTTCTGGAAGGTCTGGCGCTCAACACGCACCTGGGCGACCTGCACCTGGACCTCAGCGCCTGCGAGGTGAGCGCAGCGCCCAGGGGGCAGGCGGGCCCGGCCTGGGAGGGGGGCTGCCTGAGCGCCTACCTCCGCTTCCCCTCTTCAGCTGCGCTCGGCGGGCGCCCAGGTGATCCAGGACTTGGTGTGCGATGCCGGCGCCGTGAGCTCCCTGGATCTGTCGGATAACGGTGAGGCGGCCGGAAACCCGTCCTCCCACTGCCCGCCCAGCTCCCACTCCACCCGCGTGCCCGCAGCATCGCCCCCATGCGTGACCGCAACCGCCCCCACCGCCCAGGCTTCGGCTCGGACATGGTGACTCTGGTGCTGGCCATCGGGAGGAGTCGGTCCCTGCGCCACGTGGCCCTGGGGAGGAACTTCAACGTCCGGTGCAAGTGAGCCGCCCCCATCCCACTCCTGGGCCTCCCAGACGGCACCCCACCACCCACCCGGGTCCCCGGCTCCAACCGCGGCCCCTGCCCACAGGGAGACCCTGGACGACGTCCTGCACCGGATTGTGCAGCTCATGCAGGATGATGACTGTGTGAGTTCACGGCGCCGTGTGGGATTCTCAATCAATGGACCCCTGGGACCCCTCCTGCCCACCCCACTCCTTCCCCCTCAGACCTTGTGACCTGCCCCCTCCCTGCTGACCCCTTAGTGACAAATGGCTTTCTCTTAACGCCAGCCTTTGCAGTCTCTGTCCGTGGCAGAGTCGAGGCTGAAGCTGGGCGCAGGCGTCCTGCTTCGGGCCCTGGCCACCAACCCTAACCTGACAGCCCTGGACATCAGCGGCAACGCCATGGGGGACCTCGGCGCCAAGATGCTGGCCAAGGCGCTTCGAGTGAACACCCGCCTCCGGTGGGTGGGGGTCCGAGGGGTGGGACCCATGGGGAGGAGGGCGTGGCGTGGAGGAGCTTGTTGGGCTAAGCACAGTGTTTCCCAAACTTCTCTCATGATGAGAATCACCTGGTGGAGTTGTTAAACTACAGATTCCTGAATCCAAACTAAGAAGTGCTAAACTAGAATTTTTGGGAACATATAGGTAAAATTATATACTTAGATCACTAGTTAAGTATACAATTTTACCTATATGTTCCCAAAAATTCTAGTTTAGCACAGTTGGGATTCAGGAATCTGTAGTTTAACAACTTCACCAGGTGATTCTCATCATGAGAGAAGTTTGGGAAACACTGGGCTAAGGGGTGGGGCTGAATCTGGGAGGTGAATGAACAGGGTCCGCTGGTTGGGTGTGGCCTGGAGGAGCCCCGCCCCCGGCTGAAGCCCCGCCCCTCCCGGCCCAGGTCTGTGGTCTGGGACCGGAACCACACCTCTGCTCTGGGCCTGCTGGACGTGGCTCAGGCCCTGGAGCAGAACCGAAGCCTGAAGGCCATGCCTCTGCCGCTGACCGACATAGCCCAGGCGCAGCGGAGCCGCCCGGAAATGACAGCACGTGCAGTGCATCAGGTGTGTGTGTGTAGGGGGGGTCCTTTCTCTGCTGCTCTGCCGGCGGCCCTCCTCCCCGCCACTTACCAGCATCCCTTGTGCCTAGATCCAAGCCTGTCTCTTGAGGAACAACCACACAGACCAGGCCTCTCCGGCCAGCACCGCATGCCAGCAGCCACTAGGTCCGGGTTCTAATCCCTCTGAGCAGGTCAGTGTCTCCTCCCTAAGCCTGAGTACAAACAGGAGATGGAGAGATGGGGAGCGCTGTGGCGCCCGGGAGCCCCCCTGTTCTGAAGGTCTGGCTTTCTTGGGGCCAGGGTGTCTAAAGTCCATTGTTCCAGACAATTCCCTCTCCTTGGTCTGGAGAGGAGCCAATCATTCCTGAAATAGTTCCCCCAAATGATGCCACTGGCAGCCTTTTTATTTTTATTTTTCTTTCTTAAGGTATTACATGTGTCCTTATGCCCCCATTCCCCTCCCGCTACTGGCAGCCTTTTTAAAGCATTTAATTAGGCTCTCCTGTTACAGATGGGAGGTATTTAAAAATCTTCCCTTGGCTTAGTGGATAGAGCGTTGGCCTGCGGACTGAAAGGTCCCGGGTTCGATTCCGGTCAAGGTCGTGTACCGTGGTTGCGGGCACATCCCCAGTAGGGGGTGTGCAAGAGGCAGCTGATCGATGATTCTCTCTCATCGATGTTTCTAACTCTCTATCCCTCCCTCTTCCTCTCTGTAAAAAATCAATAAAAAATATTTTTTAAAAAGAAAAAGAAAGTATATATATAAGGTCCCTCTAATGAACTAAAGGAGACACTGCTCTCCCTCCTTGAACAGATAGGCTGGGCCTAGTGGTATTGGCTTCAAGACCTCGCACCCTGTTGGAGGCCCTGGGCAGGAGGCAGTCAGGGTCTGGGGGACTGGAAGGGGACCAGCCTGAGACTGATTCTTGATGCTCCCCAGGAAGTGAACGAGCTTTGTCAGTCGGTGCAGGAGCTTGTGGAGCTGTTGGGCTGTGGTGCTGGGCCTCAGGGTGAAGCCGCTGTGCACCAGGCCGAGGATGCCATCCAAAATGCCAACTTCTCTCTCAGTGTGAGCACACCCTCCCATCGTGAGGAACCGTCTCCTCTCAGTTAGGTGTCACCTTGCAACTCGTGTTCCTCCTTGGCCTCCAGATTCTTCCCATTCTGTACGAGGCAGGAAGCTCCCCCAGCCACCAGTGGCAGCTGCGGCAAAAGCTGGAGAGCCTCCTGGGGCAGGTGGGCGAGGTTTGCCGCCACGACATTCAGGTGAGACAGTACCCTTGCCTGAGCCCCAACTCCATGTGTAGGCTTGACCCCCATCTCATCGGCTTGCCTGGGTTACTATTCCCCGAGTTAATATTCTGTGGGGGTCAGAGCCTTGGCCATCCAGTCTAGGCCCCCGTCACACCCTCGCCATGCTCTGACCTTTGCCCAGGACTTCACTCAGGCCACACTGGACACAACAAGGAGCCTCTGCCCACAGATGCTGCAGGGACCCAGGTGGAGAGAGCAGCTAGAGGGGGTCCTGGTGGGCTCAAGGGGCCTCCAGGAGCTGCTCCCAGAGCACCTGCTGCAAGATGCCTTCACTAGACTCAGGTAGGATGGATGGGGCTGGGCTGGGCTGGGCAGAGGCAGCACCCTGACCCTCACCCTTTCTTGCCCTCAGGGACATGCGGCTGTCAGTCACGGGGTCCTTGGCAGAGAGCATTGTGGCTCAAGCCCTGGAGGGTCTGAGTGCAGCGCAGGATCGGCTGGTGAGGGGAAACTGCTCACACACACACACACACACACACCACACACTGACTGGTAGGGACTCTCTAATGTCTTCTGGGGTCATAAAGCCCAGGGGTATTTTAGGGTTCCCCTAGGCACTAATGGGACTATGGCTGAAGCCCTACCTCCCCACCTCTGGGGTGCCTGATATTGCAGGTGGAGAGTCTGGCTCAGCAGACCACAGTGGCAATGCCCTCTGCCACGCTGGCCCTGGAAGGAGGCCAGCCCACCCCCTTTTGGCCCGGGAAACTGGAAGGCCTTTTCTTTCCCGAGGAGAAGGAAAGGGAGGACGAAGAGGAGCAGGAGGTAGGTGGTGCCAGATCTCGGGGCCTGGAATCCCAGATCTTCCCATCTTGTGCTGGCGTGTGGCAGGTAGGGAGGCAGCTCCCTTGCCCCAGGCCTAGCTTGTGCCCTCCCCAACAGAATGACAGTCCTCCACAGGAATGGCCTGAGTCCAGCCCCTGTCTTCACCTGGTTCCCTCCACTCCCAGTAAGTCAGGGCCTGGGGAAAAGGGAGTAACTGAGGTGGGCTGACGCTCCATGAGACCTGAACACCTGGACACCTTCATTCAGCCCTGTTGTCTTGGAAACGCACCCTTGCCTGGACCAGGCCAGGACCCCGTGCATCCTGCAGCATTGGGGTCTGCTGTGGTCGGTCAGCATGGAGCAGGACCTGAGCAGAGCGGGGCCTGGACACTGTCTCCACTCGCGCGCCACCCCCTTCCCTCCCCCCAGTACGCGCATGACGCGCCGCTCGCTCGCTCGCTCGGGGCCGCGCTCAGCACCATGGACAGCGGCAGGGAGGGGCTGGTGGGGGGAGGGGAGCGGGCGGCGTTGCCGGGGCCCCTCCCCGCGCCCTGGGCGGGTCCCCTGCCGCCTTAGCGCCGCCACTGCCACCTCCCCGAGCTCCGAGCTCTGTGCTCTCCTGGTGCTCTCCCCTCAGGTGCTGCTGAGGAACCGGAGCCCGAGCTGGCGGCTCCTGGAGAGGATGCGGAGCCGCAGGCCGGCCCATCTGCGCGCGGCTCTCCGAGCCCTGCGGCTCCCGGGGCCCCTGCCGGCCCGCTGCCTCGCATGGACCTGCCACCCTCCGGGCAGCCTCTGCGCCATCCGACCAGGGCCCGGCCCCGGCCCCGGCGCCAGCACCACCACCGCCCGCCGCCTGGGGGCCCTCAGGTGAGTGGCCTCCCCCTCCGGAGGCGGTGGGATTGGGGGTCGCGGTGGCCTGCTTGCTTCTTACAGACGATGGTGGGCAAGGAGGCGGGTTGTGGAGGCCCAGAATCACCGGGTCATGTGGCCACATCCTGGATTCTTCCTGGCCACCCCCCACCCCAGGCCCTACCCGTATGGGGTCATGGGTGTCTGGGATTTGTTAAGGGTGTACCTGGGTGTAGAACCTGCTTCAGGCTGGCCTTTTGTATGGGTGGATGTGCTAGAAAGGATGGCTGTCTCATCCAGCATCCTTCAGGGTTACTGAGAGGCACTGGGCTCCCTGACGACAGGGACAATCCTCTGTCTCCTGCACATCTGGATGGTGTGTGTATGTGTGTGTGGGGGGGGTCTTATGTGTGGACCGGGGACTGGCTGGGTGGTAGGCACAGGGAAGAAGGGGAAGAGGAGCTGGCTTGAGGCCCCCCAGAGGGTCTGACGCAGCAGGCCTGAGCTGCCGAGCAGCAGCAGGCCGGGTGGGGGACGCTACAGGAAGCGGTTTGGAGTGGAGGGGGTGGCAGGTGAGAATGTGTGACCTAGAGGATGCGTGGGCTCTAGCCTGCTAGCGACTGGGTGGTTCAGAAAGTGTAGGACACTCCCTGGGACAAGAGTAGGTGTGGGCGGGTGTGTGTCCACGGCCAGCTGGGTGAGGTCTGTGAAATCAGTGTCTTTGCCCCCTAACGGGACGGGGAGAGAGCTGTGTGTCAGCAGCCCCCCAGAGTCATCCCAGGTCCCCGAGCTGCCCAGAGCAGACAGTTGGGAAGAACTCACAGTTGCACTCAGCCTTGACACCTGACTGTGTGATATCCCCCAGGTGCCCCCAGCGTTGCCGCAGGAAGGAAATGGGCTCAGTGCCCGCGTGGATGAGGGTGTGGAAGAATTCTTCTCCAAAAGGCTGATCCAGCAGGACCGCCTGTGAGTGAGGGCGGTTGGGGGGGTGGGAGAGGGTGGGCTGCTGCATGGGCCTCCCTGCTTACTATCTGTTGGCTGTTCCCACAGCTGGGCCCCTGAGGAGGACCCAGCGGCCGAGGGTGGCGCCACCCCTGTCCCCCGTACGCTGCGAAAGAAGCTGGGCACCCTCTTTGCCTTCAAGAAGCCTCGTTCAACACGGGGGCCACGGCCCGATCTAGAGACCAGCCCTGGGGCGGCGGCCCGCACTCGAAAAACCACACTTGGGGACCTACTGCGGCCACCAGCCCGCCCTGGCCGGGGGGAGGAGCCTGGTGGGGCCGAAGGGGGCACGGGCAGCCCAGACCCTGCCCGTAGGAGCCGGCCGCGCTACACTCGGGAAAGCAAGGCCTACTCGATGATACTGCTCCCTGCTGAGGAGGAGGAGGCAGCACTGGGCGCCAGACCTGACAAGGTGAGGCCTGGTGACGTGGGTGAGGGCTCTGCTGCAACTGAGGGCACTGGGCTCTCTCCCCACTCTGGCATCTCTGACCCCAGAGGCGGCCTCTGGAGCGAGGGGAGACAGAACTGACCCCATCCTTTGAACAGAGGGTACAAGTGATGCTGCAGAGGATTGGCGTGAGCAGAGGCAGCGGGAGTGCCGAAGGAAAGAGGAAACAAGTAAGTTTGAAGGGGACACAGTGTGAAGTGAGGGGGCTGGCGCCATGTGGCTCTCTGTGGGTGACATATGTGACCAGGAGGATATTCATGACATAGGTCTGTTCCACCCCCTCCTTCTCAAAATAGTGAGATTCGACCATTCTTCCCGCTTGGCTTCTGCCCTGGCCCAGGCCACTGCTTCCTCCTCTCGGAGGTGTGTCAGTCCTCTCTCTGCAGATCTAACAGAAACCTGACCTCGTTACCTACATTTGTAACAGCAAGTCATCTAGGGGCTTCCTCTTAGGCCTCTGCCCTGACTCCTAGCCCTGCCTCAAGGGCCTGTGGGGTCTCAGTCCTGGTCACTGCTTTATCTCACTGCTCTCCACCCCTGGCTGCACCCCCTGAGTCAGCTTGTCACCTCCCATGAGTTGATTAACTGGCTCCTCTTCATCCATCCCTGCCTTTCCCTGTGAGCCTTCCGACTCTCTCCCATTGTTATCCTGCTAATGCCACTGTGAAAGAGTCCCTAATAACTACATTATAGAAAGTGAATCAGAGAACTAAGACGTCATGTTATGTGTGTCTATGTTCCACTATCCCAGACTTTGAACTCTATGAGTTTGCCATGTTGCCCTCATTTAGTGGCAGTTATGGGAACAAGGTGAGGGTAAGGGTGGTGCGCAGCTGAGCTTGACTTCCCTGTTTCCTGCAGAGCAAAGATGGAGAGATCAAGAAGGCTGGCTCAGATGGTGAGATCCTGGGCTAGGGAGGGGGATGTCCTTAGAGATAAATCCCCAAGGGACTTGCTTTTCTGGGAGAGGGATGGGGAGGCTAGATTTCTCTTCCCCTCACTCCCAAGGCCTGGTGCCTGAGACCCCTGTCCTACTCTGCAGGGGACATTATGGACAGTTCCTCGGAGACCCCTCCCATCTCTATCAAGTCCCGCACTCACTCCGTGTCTGCTGGTGAGCGAGGGTGGCTGTGTGTGGTGGGGGAATGTGCAGGTCAAGCTCACTTCCAATGCCTGGCCTAGGTCTTGGCTGAAACTCTTCTCCTTGCAGACCCCTCATGCAGACCTGGGCCAGGGGGCCAGGGGCCTGAGTCCACCACCTGGAAGACACTGGGGCAGCAGCTGAATGCAGAGCTTAGGAGCCGTGGCTGGGGCCCACACGATGGTCCTGGACCCCCTTCCCCTTGTCCCAGCCCTCGAAAACCCAGTCCCTCCCCTGACAGCCTGGGCCTCCCAGAGGATCCTTGTTTGGGCCCCAGAAATGAAGGTAAACAGGCATGCTAGCCCCCACCCCAATACTGGACTGGGGACTGGAGGAGTCCCTGCTGGGAATTTTAGCTCCTCTGGGGACCTTGGAGATAGGGGACAAGGGCTGGAGTGGTGGCAGCTGCTGGGACCATATCCTGATACCCTGGCCTCCCCCAGATGGCCAGCTGAGGCCGAGGCGCCTCTCGGCAGGGCGACGAGCAGTGTCTGTGCATGAGGACCAGCTCCAGGCCCCTGTTGGTGAGGGGACACTTCCATGGGTGCTTGGGTGCAGGGAAGGGTGGCTCTGGGTCTCCCTTCATGGGTCTGGTAAGGGAGCCACTGGTGGTGTGAGGGGTGAGAAACCAGGGAGCAAGGGTCTGACGGCCCCTCCAAAAGAGCAACCTCTGCTCGGGCAGGAGGATACAGGGGTAGGGGAGGCTCTGAAGCAATAATGTGTGTGCACTGGCACACGCTGGGGGCGGAGGGTTGGGAACAGGCAGCAAGCATTTTACCTACGACAAGCCTTTCTGTGTCTCTCAGAACGGCCTTTAAGGCTGCAGCGGTCCCCTGTCCTCAAGCGAAGGCCAAAGCTTGAGGCACCCCCGTCACCAAGCCTAGGTAAGAAGGGGCTGGGCTGGTTGTTAGGGTGGCGGGACCGCTCAGTCCAATTCTGACCTTCCTCTCTCCCCCACTGTTTGCAGGATCTGGCCTTGACGCCGAGCCCCTGCTCCCACAGTATACAGAGCCCTCCAGCCCTGAGCGGAGCCCACCCTCCCCAGCCACAGACCAAAGAGGCGGCCCCAATCCCTGACCCTCTCCTTTCCTGCCGCATGAGATTATTTTATTAAAAAACTCGAAGCAAGCAATGTGTGAAGCACTGTTTGTCCACTCAGAGGCAGAGACCTATATGCACATTTTCCTACATGGTCACATGACTCCTCACACCTGGGTTTGCTCGGATTCCGGCTGTGGCTCCATCAGAAAATGCAAGGCCCAGGCCAGGAGCTGGGGAGGGAGCCTGGGAAGAGAACCAAGGCTGTAAGTCAGGGTTTGGGGAACCTTTTTCCTTTTTAAAAATATATTTTATTGACTTTTACAGAGAGGAAGGGAGAGTTAGAAACATCAATGAGAGAGAAACATCAATCAGCTGCCTCCTGCACACCCCCTACTGGAGATGTGCCTGCAACCAAGGTACATACTCTTGACCGGAATTGAACCTGGGACCCTTCAGTCCACAGGCCTATGCTCTACCCACTGAGCCAAACAGGTTAGGGCTGGGGAACCTTTTTTCTCCCAAGGCCATTTGGAAATTATTAACATTATTCTCAGGTGCTACAAAATTAAAAACTTAAAAATTAGCCTGCTTTAATTGGTCAAACATTTAATTAATCCACCTCTAAGGCCTTGGCAGGGCCAGACCAAATGATTTCCAAGGATCTTATACAGCCCCTGGGCCGGACATTTCCCACTGAGTGGGGCAGCCCCAGGCACTCACCTGGCAGCCTGGACCTGGGCACAGAGGGAAGTGCAGGGTGGATCGTACTCGTATTGGAAGGCGGAACCATCACGATGCTTCTTTGGGGGGTCCTGAAGAGGACGTGGTGTCTGAAGAGGGGCCAACAAGGACCCCTAATCCCATCCAAGGCTACCCCAGCTCTCCTCCCAGCTCTGTCCAAGGTTCACCCCATTCCACCCTCCAGCTGTAGGGGGACAATGCTCACCCAGACAGGACCGGACTCCGGGACTCCCTCAGTGGTTCTTATCCTTGGAGAATGTTGCCCGTTCTTGGGGGGCAACCCTAGTTCCTTGAACTCCAGTATAGGTTTTTGGGGCTGGGGCCTGGTCACATCAGCCTGATGTGAGTTGGGGATGTGACCACGAGGTGACAGACTTGGGGTACAACTCAGGAGTGGGGAGTTGGTTACATGGCTGGGATGTGGGGAACTACGGGGTAGGGAGTGGGGGGTGGAGCAGATGGCTGGCTGGGACTGGGAGCTGCCCTTCTGCCCTGTGTCTGGAGCAGCCAAGGACTCAGCAGGCAGAAGGCTGATGTTGGCACCACTTTCCTGTGATGACATGTGGCTGCGTGAGGTGGGATTTCCTGGGGAAGATGGGACTCACTGTGAGCACAGCCCTCTCAGCTTGGACCAGCTGAGTGGCCTATGACCTTAGGCAGGTCTCCAGGGGCCACGTGCGTCCCTCTCATAGCTTCCTGCGTAGCCAGGCAGTGTTTTGGCTCTAGCACCACCTTACCTGAGGAGCTGAGTGAGGAAGGGGAGGAGGACAGGGTCAGTGACAGGTCCTGAGGAGCAGAGTCTGGTGGGGGCAGCTCGGGGCCTAGGGGTCAGGAAAGGCTTTATCAGCACTGTGGGTACCAGGCCCCCACATATTCCCCTCTGGACCTCTCCAGTCCTCCTTACCCTGTGTGCTCTGATCTGGGCCCAGAGAGTTCAGGATCTGCTGGTCATTCTCAGAGATGTGTAACCACAGGCTGGGGACGGTGTACACAGCTTCTCCCTGTGGAAGTGAACTGTCAGCCTGGCCCTTGCCAAACTCCTCACCTTGACATGTCCCAAGGGAGGCCCTAGACTGACCATAGCCAAGTGGCTTGAGGTGGCCCATCGGGTGAGCGGGGGTGCTGGGCAAGGGCCTGACAGCATCAGACAGCTCTCAGCCAGGTGCACTAGTGCCCCCTGATGCTCCTGTTCCTCCTGCGCCTCATCCAGAAGTTGGGTCAGTGAGAGGCCTAGAGTCAGGGGGCAGGGGGTGGGCTGAAGTTCAAAGATAAGGGTAGGGTGGGTGGGGAAGAGGCTTACTAAAGAGCAGGAGGTGATAGCTGGAAAGTCACTCTACAGGGAGTTAAGATCAACCCCCACCTACCTGCATTGGAGGAGGCCGACTCTGTAAGGTGCTCCCTACAGAAACAGCGGGGACAGGCCTGAGGAACAATCCTGAGGCCTGTCAACACATTTGCCATCATCTGACCAAGGCACACCTGGCCCAAACCCAATCCTAGACTCACTCGAGGCAATCTTTGAGCTTTTTCTGCACATCCGGGTCCTGGTTGCTAAGAAAAAAGATGGTGATAGGCAGTCAATGTTGCTAAGAGTCCAAGTCACCCAACAGGCCTAGGCTAGGGGTGGGGGAACATCTGGCCCACGGGCCATATTTAACCTGCAAAATCATTTGGTCTGATCCTATCAAGGCATTAGGGGTGAGTTAATTAAATGTTTAGTCAAATATAGCAGACTGATTTTTAGATTGATAATTTTGTGTGGCCCTCGAATGATATGATAAATATCCAAATGGCCCTTGACAGGAAAAAAGGTTCTCCATCCCCGGCCTATGTCAACGCCAGCCGGCCTGGATAGGGAGAGCAGCTGGAAGTGGAGGCATCACTTACCAACCAATCACCCAATCCCGAGGCTGCTCCGTGGGCATTAGGCTGAAGCGGTGCACCTGGAGGTAGAACTCCGCTGGCTAGAGGAGTGAAATCAGGGATGGGCCTCAGGGGGTGTGTCACGGAGCCAGGCCAAGTAGCCCCCCCCAGGCCAGCCTCGCCACTCACCAAGCTGCCCTCTGCCACTTGGACTCGGACCTCGCAGTCGTGCAGCAGCAGCAGCCGGCCTTCAGCCCCTCGGAAACCAAACTCCTTCTCTTCCCTGCGGAGAGCTTGACCCTCACAGCCTAGCCGACCGAAACTTAGTCCCGCCCGCCGGGGGGCCGCCCACCGGGAGCCCCAGCTGGGTTCAATTCCCCTACGGTCCTGTGGCGCCTCTCTCACCAATCCGAGGCGTCCAGAGTTTCCCGCGTCAACAGGCATCGGACACAGTGGGTCCCGTCGGACACAAGCAACGCCGCCCCGACATCAGACGTGTCAGGGGCGCAGGACGGGCCTGGGGCCTCGGCTTCGGCCTCCTGCAGCACCTGACCACAGCAACGGACGTCAATCCCACCGCCCCGGGGACCCACCCAGGCTCCGGCCCTGAAGGGTTGGGGGGCTCACCTGAAGCAGCTGCCCTGCCCGTGGACTTGAGAGTCTCTCTAATCCCAGGACCAGCTCTCGAATCCATGGCCGCAGGACCACACTCCTGAGCCTTGCCATTCCCGCAGCTGAATTTAACGGAGCCAAGCTCACCCAGGTTTCCCGCGGGCGCCCGGTCCCGCCTTCCACCGGAAGAGGAAATGCATGACTGCTGGGCGGGACCAGAGACGGAAGCCCCGCCCATGTGGCATGCCCGCGCATGCGCACGAGCGTGCACGGTTAGGGAATTTGAGTGCAGGTTCCCGTCGGCTTGGCTAGATGCTTCCTTGCTTGTTACCTCTCGGAGCAACAAAGCCGGAGACTCTTTTGGGCCGTCCGTCAACACTCCCTTGGCACCGGGCAGGAAGGGGTCACGGCCTGTTTCAGATGGAGAGGGAGGCACCTGGGGCCTGAGGCCGCTGCGGCCTAGGGTAGTCCGAGGGAATCGGCTCGAACCACTTCAACGCCGTGTGACCCCGAAGGACTCAGTAAATATTAGCTCAGTTTCTCATCTACAACATTAGCAGCCTGGTAAGGCCAGTGGAAATATGACAGCTAGCACTCAATAGGCGTCACTCTCCCCTCGGAGTGGCCGAGCACCGCCCCCGCCGCTCCTCAGGGTCCTGAAAGCCGGACGAACAGTAGCGTCATGACGTAAGCGCACACGAAGACGTCTCTAGCCCCACCGCCGTTGCCCAGGAGACGTGGACTCCGCGTTCCACGCTGCGTAGCTGGCCCCTTGACGTCACGGGCTGAATGGGAGGGCGGGGCGAGTGCTACCGCCAGGGGCGGGGCGGCGCGGGCCGGCCGGGCGGCCGGGCTGTGCACCTGCGGGGCCGCCTGGCGCAGGGTCCCGGGCCCGCCCGGCCCCGCCATGGCCAGGCCGCAGAGGACCCCGGCGCGCAGTCCGGACAGCATCGTGGAGGTGAAGAGCAAAGTAAGGGCCCCTCCAGTCCCAGCTCCGGCTCCGGCTCTAGGTGCTTCCAATTCCTCATTCTCCCCTCCCTAGCTCCTCGGTCCCACGGACCTTTTCCTCTCCACTATCCTCCCCATCCCATCCTCTGGCTTTTCTTCTCGCTTTCCCGCGCCCATCCTTCTTCCTTTCCCTGCCGGCCTCTCGAGTCCGTGTGTGGCCTGGGTTACCTGGAGGGCGGGGAGAAGACCTTGGACAGCGGCCGTCCCTTGTGCTGGAGCGGAGGTCTGGGCACAAGGCTGCAGCTGTTGCAGCGGCAGCCCGCTTTCTCGTCCCTGCCACTCCTCGACCTGTGGTGAGAAAGGACGCAGGGCCCGTCCTGACCCCTTCTCTCCCCCCACTCCCTGCCTCTAGTTTGATGCCGAGTTCCGCCGCTTCGCGCTGCCCCGCGCTTCCGTGAGCGGCTTCCAAGAGTTTTCGAGGTTCCTGCGTGCGGTGCATCAGATCCCGGGGCTGGATGTGCTGCTTGGCTATACAGATGCTCACGGTGATCTACTGCCTCTCACCAACGACGACAGCCTGCACCGGGCCCTGACCAGTGGGCCCCCGCCGCTGCGCCTGCTAGTGCAGAAGCGGGGTGAGGAGAATGGGGTACAGAGGGCAGCCTCTGTGGGTAGGGTGACAGGGGAGGTCTACAGGGATTAAGTTCATGCCCAGGGTGCTCAGGCTTCACCTTCAGCAATCCCTGTCCTTGGGCTGACCTCCAGGTGGTAGGAAATAGTTATAGTGTCCCCTTCCCCTGCCTGGGCCTGATGGGAAAGGGGGAACAGGGTCTCTGATCCCAGTGTCTCCCTCTCCAGAAGCTGACTCCAGCGTCCTGGCCTTTGCCTCCAACTCTCTGCAGCGGCGTAAGAAGGGACTCCTACTTCGGCCAGTGGCACCTCTGCGCTCCCGGCCGCCCCTCCTCATCAGCCTGCCCCAAGATTTCCGCCAGGTTTCCTCCGTCATAGACGTGGACCTCCTGCCTGAGACCCACCGGCGGGTGCGGCTGCACAAGCACGGTTCTGACCGCCCACTAGGCTTCTACATCCGCGATGGCATGAGCGTTCGTGTAGCTCCCCAGGGCCTGGAACGCGTCCCAGGCATCTTCATCTCTCGCCTGGTCCGAGGGGGCCTGGCTGAGAGTACAGGGCTGCTGGCAGTCAGTGATGAGATCCTCGAAGTCAATGGCATTGAGGTGGCTGGGAAGACCTTGGACCAAGTGACAGATATGATGGTCGCCAACAGCCACAACCTCATCGTCACTGTCAAGCCAGCCAATCAGCGCAATAATGTGGTGCGTGGGGCATCTGGGCGTCTGACAGGGGCTCCCTCCGCTGGGCCTGGGCCTACTGAGCCCGATAGTGATGAGGACAGCAGCGATCTGGTCATTGAGAACCGCCAGCCTCCCTGTCCCAACGGGCTGTCTCAGGGTTCTCCATGCTGGGACCTGCACCCAGGCCACCTACTTCCAAGTGCCCGCAGCTCTCTGCCATCCCTGGACGATCGGGAGCAAGCCAGCTCTGGCTGGGGGAGGAGCATGCGAGGAGATGGTAGTGGCTTCAGCCTCTGACACATAAAGCAGCAGTCTTTGCCACTCCAGGGGATTTCTCGGTGGGGTTTTAGCTTGTTCATAAGGCCCTCTCAGTATGGGGAACATTAAAGGATTTTTTTACAAATGCAGTGATGGTCCTTCTGTATCCCAGCCCCAGCCTCCTCCCTGACCCCAGTCTTCCCTTCTGCCCTGGACGTGAGGCAGGAGTGATAAGGGCAGCAGAGAGACCTTCCTGCATTTGGGCAGCAGGAGGGCCACCACAGTTAGAATTTATAGGGTAACAAAAGCTCTTATGGAAAGAAACCCATGTGTACAGAAAGTTTAATTTTGACAAAGGGGTGAAGAGGCTGGGCTAGGTGGCCCTTCTGCGGCCACCAGTGGTAGGAAAAGTGCTCTGGGGATACTCCTCCCCACCTCTGCTTCTGTCTTTAGACTTGATGATGGGGCCTGACCCTGTCCATTGCAACCATGCAGTGATCCTCAGCTAGGGCCCGTCACTACCCCTGTAAAAGGGCTCAAGCATCCATCTTCACGAAGACCTTGGGGCGGGAAAAGATCTTGATGGCCTCCTCTACCTGTACCAGCTTCCGGTCCAGCTCAGCACGGTGGCCCTGGGCCCTCAGGGAGTCTGCCCCGGCAGGCAGCAGCACCAGCTCACGCAGCAGCTGGCTCTGGCCTACAGGGGGGCCAGGAACAGTTAGTGTTAGGCAGGAGTGCAAGGTTCTCAGTGGGCTCCTCATCCAGTCCACATACTCACTCTGGAGCAGATTGCTCAGTGTCTCCAGACGCTGGTTCTCAGGCATGCGAGTGTGGCCAGGGGGCATGGCAGGGTCCGGCTGGCTACGTTGGCGGGCCTCGGCCTCCCGACGCCACAAATCCCTACGCTCCAACAAGCTGTGGATGCATAGATTCAGGTTGATAATCCCTGGGCAGATGGAGGCTCCCACCTGCCACTGGCATCCCTCACCCTGGGTGTTGGGCATGGGACCTACTAATGGGGCACGTGGCCCTTCTGTGTGGCGTTGTAGTGCTCCTGGGCTTGCCGTTGCTGTTCCAGCACCTGTGCCAGGACCTGCAGCGAGCGGGAATGCCGCCTGGGGGCTCTCTTGGCCGTGCGGGCATTGTGGCTAATGAAGTCCACATCTAGGCCTGGCTCCTGCAGGACACGGCAAGCGTGATGGGCAGACAGCAATGAGTTGTTCCCCTGAAACTCCCAGGATCCTGTCCCACCTTCTATCCCACACATACTCTCACCTTGGCATTGGGATCTGGTGGGGTTAGCTGGGGACTGGGGGCACGGGGTGGTGGGAGCCCAGGACCGCAGCGAGAGTGTGCCCGCAGGAAGTGCACAGTCTCTGTCCCAGAGGCAGGGCCAGGCTCCTGGAGGGCAAGGGACAGAAAAGGGATCAGTCAGGCTGTGGTCAAGGTCTCAAAACCGAGCCTCTATCCTCTGCCCTATGGGTCTCCTCCCTTTTAAAAACACTTCTCATCAGCGTTTAAACATGGGTGTCTCTCACATCCTTAACAACAAACCACCCTCCTACCTCAGTCCTGGCTCCAGCTACCATCCTTTTCTCTCCTTCCTAGCTTCCAAGTTTCCTAGATATGTCCCTACCAAGGTCACTGACAGCTGGCTCCCAAGCCCACAAATGCAGGGTCATTTCCCTGGTCTCATCGTCCTCAGCCTGATCCTCAATAACCTCTAGGTCTCACTCCTGAGATCCAGGCCTGATTCTCCATCTGCTTCCTGGACACGCTCCCACCCCCTGGGTGTTTCACAAATGCTCCAGCTTCAGCACATCCCCATATAACCTTATTGTCTTTTCTCTCAATCCTGATCTTCCCCTTGATAGAGAGATGGTGTCACCATCTACGCAAAACCTCACCACCATACCTGACCTTTCCACTGCCCGTAGAAATAAAGGCTGAAAAGTGGATTATGTGGCTCTTTATATGGGTCCAGCTGATTTTTAAAAAAATATATTTTATTGATTTTGTACAGAGAGGAAGGGAGAGAGATAGAGAGTTAGAAACATCAATGAGAGAGAGTCATCGATCAGCTGCCTCTTGCACACCCCCTACTGGGGATATGCCCGCAACCAAGGTACATGCCCTTGACCAGAATCGAACCTGGGACCCTTCAGTCCCCAAGCCGACGCTCTATCCATTGAGCCAAAAACGGTTTCGGCAAGAGTCCAGCTGATATCTTAGCCTTATGCCCTCACAGGAAACGGTACACAGCATCCACTGCCCACACTCCCTCTAATCTTAGGACTTTAATCTGTGAGGTTTCATCTATACAGAATGTTCTCTTCCATTCTCCCCTTGCCTAATTCCTACTCGCCCCTCAGGACCACCCAGCCATCACCACTTCTGAGAATCCCCTGCAACAGAACCAGCTCTCTTTGACTCCTGTTATCTCAGTCCCATGATTTTCCTCCCTCCCCTAACTCCGATCAGGGCATGAGAGACTCCTGGCAAATAAGATGGACAATACTTCTGGCTTTCTGAGGCAGTTACCTGCAGCTGGGCCTTGACTCGGGACTCAACTTTGTCATACTTGGGCGAGCGCCAAAGAGCCTTCAGGGGCCTGGGCTGGCCCTGCTCCCGGCTGCGCTCCTGCTCTCGGAAGCGCCTCTGGATCTCCTTGATCCTCTTCAGATTCTCCTTCTCATGGTCTTTAGGGTCCTTCCCTGGGAAAAAGGCGTTACCAGGCTCTGCCCTACATACAGCCCATGAAATCCAACTCATATCCGTGCACACACAGATCTGACCGCTCTAAGTTAGATCCTTTACAGGTACTCCACCTCACCATCTTATTTCCTTTCTCACGTGGTAATTTATCTTCTATCCCTGAGTATTTTCTACATTTTCATTGTGAAGCATACCATTCATTATCTTATATATATAATATTCATCTTACTTGTTTAGTGTCTCCCACTTTGACTTACTAATGGCCCATGTCTGTCTTCAACCTGTTTTCAGAGCACCTACTGGGCCTGGCCAACAGAAGGCACTAAACAACAAACATTTCACTGATACGTGACTTCATGAAGCTGAATTAGCATTTCCTGGAAACCACCTCATTCAGTCCGCTTCTGTGAGAAAGAAAGAGTAGTGCATCTCTCCCTCCTTTTAGGGGAAATCCGACACTCAGAGAGGCAAGGCCTGAAGTCGGCTCAGGGCAGGAGAAGCATCCGTTTTTGAACTCAGGCTTAATCTCAGATTTGCCTCACCGCCCGTTCTGTCTGCCCAGAACTTACTCTTGGGAAAGGCCCGTGGGCCTAGGGAAATATCCCCAAGTTGCAGCAGCATGCCCCCCACGCCGCCTCGGCCACGCTCCAGGATCTCTTTGGCTTCAGGACGGATGCGGGGGCCGCGGGGCGGGGTGGCGTCCGGGTCCGGGTCCGAGGTGAGCAGGTCCAACTTCAGCGCGTTTCCCTCAAGGCGCCCCTGGGCTGAGGGGTCCGACAGGGCGGAGTGCGAGGTTCAATGGCGGAGCTGGACCCGAGTCTAGCTCGGGCCTTCCTGGGCCGCGACACCCCCCAACTCACCGGAGGCGGGCCGCCGGTAGTAGTCGGGGCAGAGCGTAGGGTCTGGGGGGATGGGCCCCGAAATGCGGGACGGGCCCTCGCACATGCCGCCGTCGTAGCCCTGTAACGGTGCACGGAGGCCTGCCAGGCTGCGCCTCTGGGGTCCTCACCTCCTCCCTCAGCCCCGAGCCCATTCCCTGGACGGGGCCCCGTCCGGCCTGCGCTCCCAACCCATTTCCCTCATCCGTTCCCGTCTCTTCCCCTCGACACCCAGGCCGGGGGCTCACCAGAGCAGGTTTGTGCAGCCCGCCGCGGAAACCCGACGGGTTTTGCTGTTGCTAAGCAACAATAGTTTCCGCTTCTCAGGTCAGGGGCCAATGCCCCTGGCGCAAAGTCTTCTGGGGTTTGTAGTTCCAAATCAGGGTTCAGTTGATCAATCGCCTGCCGGTCCCTTTTCCCACCCGGACCCTCGCCTCCGAGCTAGTCTTCCGGGTACAGCAGTGAAAAGGCCCCGTCTTCGCCTTCACTCCCAACTCCCAGCAGATGTGCTGACTCCGCGCAGCTATGGCCTCAGCAGGGACCGAGAGGCGACCGGGAGCCCAAGAGGGGACAGCAGAGGAGGGGCCTGCACAGCTCTCGGAGGCACCCCGTGGCCACGTTCAGAGCTCTGAGGTGAACATCAGGGCTGCCTAGCCTTTACTGGGGGCCTCGGCGCTCTCTAGGAGGCCAAACTCTGTACGTGGACCCCCTCACAGGCAGACAGGGGCTTGGGCTGGTGCCCTTGATCTGCATTTGGTGTCTAATGACTGACCCCCCGTATCCCTTGTCTGGCTGTGGGTGACCAGCTACCTATGTGTCACCTCTAGTGTCCAGTAATGGGAAACCAGGGCCCGGTGTCAGCTCATGAGGCCTGTGGGACTCAGGGTGAAGACAAGCGTCCAACAGGACCAGTCTCAGAGCCGGAGCTCCAGGAGGAACGACTCAAGCTGGAGGAAGAGCGGCTCAAGCCAGAGGCGGAGGCACTAGAGGAGCAAGGCCCCAGGCCCCTGGCCTCTGTTGTGAGGTCCAGTCATGGTCCCAAGAGGAAGCCAGTCAAGTGAGGGGGCTTTCAGAGGGAAAGGACAATAGGGTTGACATTTAGGGTTGGCAGGGTGGGGTGGGGGATATAACAACCCAGTAGGATTCCAAATTCCTGCACTCCTGCCGGGTGCATCCTTATCCCCTGCCACCACCACCACTTCTCACCCCTCTGTCCCTAACAGAGGGAGTCTCGAGGCCTTGTACAGGACTGAACTCACAGGAGCTCTCAGCCCTTATCCAGTTTGGGCTTCGTTGACCAGGAAAGGGACAAGAACCTGGGCCTGAGGTGGTGGGCCTGCAGGGCTATTCCTTCCTCAAGCCTCCTGTCCCCCAGCCTCCCAGGGCCTAGTCACCAAGCCCATCCCAGGGCTGAAGCTGAGCTGCCCCAGGGGCTGCCGCTGCAGAGGGAGGACCTGGAGGGTAGCCAGAGCGAGCCTTCACCGTCTGCCAAACAGCACAAGAAAGCCAAGAAACGCAAGAGTCTGGGGGCCCCAGTGCTCCCAGCTGTGGCCAGCACAGTGTCTGCACCCTCAGAGACCTTGGGGCTAGAGCGTGAGTGGCAGTGCCCCGCCCTTTTCTTCCCTCCTCCCCCGCCCCCCTCCTGCCTGCTGGCCTTCTGACATGGCACAGCTTGGTGCTCCAGCCCCTGCTCTGCTCCGGGTCCTTGCAGGAAAGGCCCAACGCTTACGGCCCCTGTACCAGTACATCAACTATTGCAACCCTGAGCTGAACGAGGCAGCGCAAGTGGATAGGGAGGCCGAGGCCGAGGTGGAACCTGAGTCAGACCCAACCCTGGCCCCCAAGGAGGCATGTGTGGAACAACTGCCAGCCTTGCTGCCGGTGGCAGGTGAGCTGGACGCAGGCCTCACGCTGCCCTGCCCCAGTATGTTCGTGTCTCCCACCCATGCTCTGGTTCCTCCTGGAGAGGAGGCCGGAGAGGAGCCTGGGGGTTTGCCCAGCTTGGGGGTCAGTGGCCTCAAGACGGAGATGGATAAGTCAACTCAAGTGGACATCAGCAAGATGCTAAGTGTCTGTGCTGCCCCACTTGTACCCCCTCTCTCTCCTCAGTACAAGTGACTGTCCCAAACCAGGGGTTACTCCTCTGTTCCCAAGCCGGGACCAGAGCACAGCCTGTGGGGCTTCAGCCCTCCGGTGAAAGGGGGAATTCTGCTCTGCCCCAACTTGGGACCTTGGACTTGCTGAAAATAAATGCTTTTCCTTTTTCTCAGACTTTGACTCCCCAACTAAGATGGCTGAAGAGGGAGAGCATGGAAAGGGTGGAGGACTCCCCAGTGCAGGATTCCCCAGTGAAGCCTCAAAAGTTAGACTCCTGGGCACTACCTCAGGTCTAACTGAATCAATCTGCAGGGGTGGGACCTGGTTCTGTGCATTTAAAGGCCCTCAAATAAACCTGAAGATCAGACAGGATATAGTGAGGATGGGGAGGGAGGTGGGGAGGAACAGGGGGCAGAGAAAGGAAAGGGACTGTCAGGTCACGGAAGCAGGGGCTTCACAATCGAGCCCACAATCTGCAGCAACTTCCCGGGCTTCCCTTGAAGCTCTGGCTTCATTCGGAAGGTTGTCCGGTCTAATTAGCATATTTTATTATTATTATAGATACACATATACATACATATATATGTTTAAAAGGTACCTATACTTTTCCCGGGATGATTTTTTTAAAAAATATATATTTTATTGATATTTCACAGAGAGGAAAAGAGAGAGATAGAGAGCCAGAAACGTCGATGAGAGAGAAACATCGACTAGCTGCCTCTTGCACACCCCCTACTGGGGATGTGCCCGCAACCAAGGTACATGCCCTTGACCGGAATTGAACCTGGGACCTTTCAGTCCTTAGACCGACGCTCTACCACTGAGCCAAACCGGTTCTGACCCAGGATAATGATTTGACTACCCCAGGAAACACTGTCCACAGGGACCACGCGGAATGAATACTTTCCTTAGGGATGAGAAGAGGCTCTCTGGGATTTTTCAGGGGAAGAGAGCCCTTCAAGGTAACTGAGCTTGACCTCCTCATGTTATAGTTGAAGCCTGGAGAGAAATGGCCTTCTAGGAGACCACACCCTGGGCCTCAAGGATGTGGTCTCATACCCTTTCCTGAGCCCTGCAGATCTGAGGACCCCGCGGCTCTCTGGCTAAGGCCTGACACAAGAAGGCCAAGCATCTGCTTTTCCTGTGTGGTCTGCAGGGCTGGAGGTATGGACCAACACTGATAAGGAAGCTCTGTTCTTTCAACAGGTGAGGTAGGAAATACTCAGTAACCATAGAATAAAACAACCTGTCTATATTTCTTGAGGCCTGTTACCTGATGGGCTTGTCTAGGCAGGGCGGGTGACAGTAGCCAAAGAAATACGGTGACCAGACATCCCAATTTTTAACAATTTGTCCCGTGTCCCACAGCGTTCTTTCCAAAAATCGGGACTGTTCTAAAACGCTGTGGGGCACGGGACAGATTGTTAAAAATCTGGACTTCCCGCCAAAAGTGGGACATCTGGTCACCTTACAGAAAGGAACATCACCACTACTCCAAGGGAGAAATGCAGCAGCAGCACGATGCAAGGAAGAACTGAGGACAGACTGGGACCACAGGCAGTGGGGATGCTGTCACTATGCCTGGGAAATAGTGAAGAGGCAGCCCTCCAGCCAATTCCTGGAGAGGTGGGTGGCCTTCCAGGCAGAGGATGTGCCAGGGATGAAGCCTTGCTGGTATGGAAGATGCCAGCTGCGTGCCAGAGGGCCACTTGGCTCGGCTGAAGCAGAGCCTGGCCATCAGGAGGCCAGGTCGGGCGAGTCTGAGAGTGATGAGGGGTGTAGGCAAGGAAGGATCTTGGCCTGACATTTTGGAGAGGTCCTTAGGGCAGCTGTGTGAAGGACAGAACGAGAAAGGGTGAGAACTGGGGACACTGAGGCGAGGAGACTGCGGTCATTATCTGATCTGAGGCCTAGATTTGGCTCGGGGTTGGAAAATAAGCAACAGGTATTTTGGAAGTTCTCTTCTGGTTGCTGTAACAGAGAGGGAGAAGTTGATTGCACTTTCAATGGCTTGGAAAAACGTTTTACTTTGACTCAAAGAAGATCCTGAGTTTGGGACACAGGTTCGGGGAGGTGATGCTGCCTTCCTCCAGGAGGGGGCGGTGCAGGACAAGCCTGGAACCTGCTGTAGGCGTTAACCCTGGGGACCCAGAAACACTGCTGGCTTCCTTGACTCACCACAGGCATCTAGCTACTTCAAGGTTCATTTCCTTCCTGGGGCCAACCCAAGAGATATGACAGTTAAAGAAGTTTAAGGGGTGGCCATGGACTCGGGGAGTGCCAACAAAGGTTCTGAGATCTTTATCAAAGCAGCTCTGCACTCAGCCCCTGCAGTCTGTCCAGGGGCTTCTAGGAATACATCTTTGTAAAGAAGGGGTTTGCTGCTGAGCCCTATAAAACCTAACAGTGCCACAAAACCTAAGTGAGTCAGCAATGTGACCCTTAAGTAGGAGCATCTGAGTCTGGGAGTCTGAGGAGCCACAATTGCTGAGGAAAGAGTAGTTCAGGGTCAGGCTGCATCATCAAATGACCCTGAACAGGCTCCTGATTGCGTCACTTATAACTTACAGGAGGTAAGTAACTTGGCTCTTCTCTGCCTCAGTTTTCTGATCTGAATATGACAATATTAATATTGGCACCTTATGGAGTGATTTGGATATTAAATAATATGCATAAAATGTCTACGCTAGGGTGCCCAGCCTGCAAAAATCATCTTCCGGTCCTGGCCAGTGTTGTTAAGTGGTTAGAGCGTCAACCCTGTGTGCTGAAGGGTCACAGGTTTGATCCCTAACCATCAATGTCTTGCATATCAATATTTCTCTCCCTCTCTCCCTTTCCCTCTCTCTGATAAGCAATGGAAAAACTATCCTAGGGTGAAGATTAACAAAAACAAACAAAAGCATACTCAACTCTAGCCATTGTTATTTCAACTCACAGAGACAAGGTATAAAACCAGGGCAATATAGGAAACAGGCCGGATGACTTTTATAAGGGTGCCAAGAGGAAGATGGAGCTCACCCTCCCCCTTTCTCTTCCTGGCAAGGAGCCCGGGGCAGGGCAGGGATGGTTAGAGAAGGGAAAGTTTGATCCAGGCATAATCCTGGCAGGCTGGCAGAGGGGACAAAGCACATGTCCCTCTCCCCCACCCTCACCACTGACTGGCATGGCTAACAGGCTGTCCCTGTGTAGAACGGTTAATAAATTCATGCCTGGTGTCTGGCTGGCTGGCCATACCCACTTCATGGGGGAGTGTGTGGAGCCTTCCTCCTCAGGCTCATCCTGTCCAGCCCACCGGGGGCCATTCCTCCCTTCCCCTCCCCCAGGGCTCCCCTGGAGCCAGCTTCACGGTTTTAAGAACAGAACCCCCCCCCCCCCCCCCCCCGACCTGCAGCCCAGGAAGGCCCCACAGCTCCCCACCAGGAAGTCCTGAGCCCTGTTTTCTGAGGAAAGGCTTTTCTTCGGAGGGCTCCTGGGATGTGGTGGCGAGGGAAGAAGCTGGGAGACGAGGGCAGGTGGTGGCAGGAGCCTGTGTGGCCCACCAGACAGGGATGGAGCTGGAGGTCAGAGCTGCTGGGGAGTCGCCAGAAAAGATGAAAATATAAACAATCTACAGCAATAAACAGGCCTTTCATTCCTAAAGAAACCTCACCTACCAAACAGCCAACAACCAGGTGCCATCGTGTCAGTTTGATTTATTGACCTTTATCAGATGTTCCGGGGTTCTCCCTTGTCTTCTCTCTGCCAAATCAAGGGCCCTCTGCTCTAGTCAACAGCCCCCGAGAGCTCTCCTAATGAATGCCCCCGCCTGCCCACCAGGGAAGGGGCAGCCTGGAATCTGGAAGGGCCTACCCATGTGGGAGAAGGGGAGGTGCGGATGGATCCCTGAGGGAGCCTTGCTGTCCTCACTCCTGAGATGCAGTATTCTGTTTCTCTGGAGAACACTCCCGAGAAGGGCATGGAAACAAGGCTTTTTGTCATTTTCCTCAGGACGGAGGAATCAGCCAAACTGGGACCACAGATAAGCTAAAGAAGCCCCCAAGTCAAGCTTTTGCTCGCCTTGCTCACCAGAGACCTGGCAGCAGCTCTGCCTCTTGCACACGGTGCTAGCCCCCAGGCCGTGGCAACAGGAACATCACCGCCCTCAGCTCTGGGGAGAGAGGAAGTGCCGGAGGGGCGTCTTACTGGGGCCACCGTGGGCTTCACCTGGACCCCGCCCATGCTGACCTGTTATGAATGACAATGTCTATGCTACGGCCAAGCCCTTCCATCTTGCTCCTGGCCCCTCCTTGGCCCCTGTGCCCCATGGCAGGGAGCCCGTGTGCAGGCTCACAGGTTGTTCCGCTGGAGCGCCTCACACAGGTTCTGGTTGGCATCGGGTTCCTCCGTCAGCACCTCCACGGCCTCCCATTCCCCCGATCGGCTGGACCTCTTGATGGCGTCCACCACACTCTGCATGTACAGCCCGTCCTCAAAGGAGGCGGCCATGGAGACGGGGGTGTGGTCCCACGTGCGGCGGTCCCCCTGCCCCTGGAAGGACTCCCGCAGGGCCTGCACCATGTAGACCATGCCCTTCAGGTAGAGCAGCGGGACGTCCTGGGGCCCCTGCTCAGGCAGCCCCGCGCCCACAGCCAGTGAGTCCCGCAGCAACAGCTCCTCCTGGGTGGCAGAGTTCTTCTGCCCGTAGAGGTCAGCCCCCCGGGCAACAAGGCGTCCCGCAGAGCCCACCACCATGACCTCGTGCACAAAGGCACCCGGCATGTTGAAGTTGAGCGTCACTGTGCTGCACACGCCCCCGCCCATGAGCATCTGGAAGAAACAGAAGTCGTCGCTGGTGACGTGCCGGATGCCACGAATGGCCGCATTCTGCCTCACAAAGGTCTTGAGGAGCCCGTGGACCTTCTCGGCTCTCTGGCCGGTCAGGTGGGTCAGCAGGTCCACGATGTAGGTGCCCATGGTGTGCAGGCCTCCACCGCCCATGAGCTCGTCGCAGATCCAGCCGTAGTTGGGGCTGAGCAGGCTGCCCGAGTAGACGCGGGCATCGCAGATCATCACCGCGCCCACGTAGTGCTCGGCAATCAGCTGCTTCATGCGCACAAAGGCGGGCAGGAAGCGCAGCACGTTCCCCACCAGGCTCATCAGCTGCGGGTAGTAGCGAGAGGCTGTCACCATCCGGAAGGCGTCCACCGAGGTTGCTGCCTTCTCACAGACCACGTTCTTCCCAATACCTGAGAATAACACATAATGGGGAATCTCTAAGTTCCAAGGGGTTTACACTGTGTGTGTGGGGGGGGATGATTTCTCGAAAGCAGATGGACTCAGGAAAGCTTCTTATGAGACCAGATGATGGCCTCGGACAAGAGGAAAGACTTCAGTTTGCATGAAAATGGTACCCAGTGTCTGGGACTGGAGAGAGAGTTATGAGCTAGAAAAAGAGAAGTACTATCAGTGTAGGAGCTAAAGACCATTAAAAAAAAAATTAAAAAAAAAAAAATATATATATATATATATATATATTTTTTTTTTTTTAAATTTTTTTCCCCAGAAGAAGGGAGGGAGATAGAAATATCAATGATGAGAGAAAATCCTTGATTAGCTGCCTCCTGCACGCCCCTTACTGGGGATCGAGCCCACAACCCAGGCATGTGACCTTGGCCGGAATTGAACCTGGGACCCTTTAGTCTGCAGGCTGATGCTCTATCCACTGAGCCAAACCTGCTAGGGCTAAAGGCCATTTTGAGTTAAATAAGCTCCTGCAGGCCAGCTACATGGGGTCTTACCTTTAGGAAGACTCGGGTGGCCTCGAAAGACTTGCTTGCTTAAGTTTATCTAGCTTTCCTGCTAGCAAGTCAAAGGATTAGCGAAGCCGAAAACTGCTTTCTGTCTCCTGGGAATGGGAAAGCATGGGTGTTGAGTGCCTATTAGCTCGGATCTCCTGTGGGGTGAACAAGTTTCATGCTGCAAGCCTCTTCAGCTCATATACCCAGAACCAAATAGCCAGGAGTGAAGTGCCCTTGAGCACCACAGGCCCAGAGAAGCTGCCTGACCAGCATTTCGTTCTCTAGTAACGCACCCCCGGTTCACAGCTCTGGGGCCACACCACCTGTGTCCCTGTCTAGAGGTGCGGGACTAGATCAATGACTTCAAACAGCAGGGTAGAGAAGCAGCCCAGGAAAAGCAACACTTTTGTGTTTTTATAAAATCCAGGGACTATCTGTGTATTTTAGAACATGAAAGGGACTGCTACTAGAGAAGGAACTTTGAAAGAACCGGACTAAGTCACTCTTGCTCACAGCCCCTCCACACCCTTTCCTGGGTCACAGTCCCATACTGGCTCCATGCGCCACACCAGCAGACTGGGCGCACATGGGTAGAATCTGTGAATATCTTCATTCATCCAGTGTGCTAGGCCTTGCATCAAACTCTGGGGATACAACATCGGGCATAGTCTCTATCTTCAGACAACTTTTAATTTAGTAGAGAGATAGTCATTGATCAAATTATCATATAAATACACGTAGAACTGCACCTGTGATAAATGCCATGGATGATATAAGTGGTAATATGAAAGCATATAGCAGGGATCTGACCTGGACTGAGGCTCAGGGAAGGTATCTCAAGGGACTGGTGTTCTTGGGATTAAATTATCTGGGTCAGGCTGCTTGAGGAATGATCTCTTGTTATCTCAAGAGCCCGTGGGGAGAGTTGGCAAACTCAGTGTTTTTCTAATGAAGCATATAAGTGCCAAGAACTGGGTACAGAAATTTACCTTTTAGTGCCAGTTTTAGGAAAACAATCAACTGTGGTAAAAATGTTAGGGCACTTTGCACATTAAAATATAGTTTTCTGAACTGAGAAATAAATCATGTCAGGATCCCACCCTCTCCTTTAAGGAATTCATGGGAAAGAGTTAAGGATAAAATTTGTAGAAGAAATGAAAAAAGGAAAAGAAAAAGGTAAAACAAAAGCAGAAAATAAGATGCCACAGAATGAGTTGTGATATGAAAAGAATACCAATAAAGGATCAGTCCACAAATTAATTTTAGGAAAAACTAATAAAAATGAGGGCAAGAAACAGTCTTTATGGCCTTAGAAGTCAGGTAAAAATGTAATTATCTAATAAACAGAGGAAAATGCAATTCTGCCCACAGCATTAAGACTTAGTAAGAAATCGCAAATCAATAAAGGTGATACATCACATAAACAAACTGAAAGAGAAAAATCACATGATCAAATCCAACACCAATTTTATTTATTAATTAATTGATTTCAGAGAGGAAGGGAGAGGGAGAGATAGAAACAACAATAATGAGAGAGAATCATCTGTCTGGCTACCTTCTACCTGCCCCCTATTGGGCATCAAGCCTGCCACCTGGACATGTGTCCTTGACCAGAATCAAACCCGGGATTCTTCAGTCCACAGGCTGATGTCCTATCCTCTGAGCCAAACCAGCTAGGGCCCAACACCAATTTTTCATAAAAACTCTCAGCAAAGTGGGAATAGAGGGAGCATATCTCTATTAGATAAAGGCCATACGTGACAAACCTAAAGCCAACATCATACTCAATGGGCAAAAACTGAAAGCATTTCCCCTAAGTACAGGAACAACATATATTCATACATGGAGGCACACAGTTAGGTGGAATGGCAGTGAGAATCTTTTGGGATATTGGCTCTGAGGACCTTTAAATACACTGTACAGGAAATCTGATTTTCCCTTGTAATGTGATGCCAGTGTCTTACTTGGTCAGCATTTGCAGGAAGTCATATATCATGCTGGAAAGGCTGAATGATGCCCTTATTTTACTCTCAATTCACAGTGGCCCACAGAGATTGAGAGAGACAGAAATAGGACCAGAAATGGGGTCTGAGGTCAAGGTCAGTTTGGTGTTCTGCATATAGCAGTTCATATAACCACTGTCCTTTGGGAAAACTAAAGGAGTTCTGCTGGCCTCTTCCATATATGTTTAAGTGAAGTCAGAATTCTCACTAAAAAAAAAAAAAAAAAGGGGGGGGGTGGGGTGGGGAAAGCATTTGTTTTCACAACAATCTCAGGGATTCCTTTGGGGCCTGAGTGGGCAGTGCCTGAGGGACATGGGCTCTCCCAGGCCCTCCAGCTCCTGGGATCATGCACCACCAAGGACATTCATTCACACTCTTTTTTTTTTTTTTTTTTTTTTTCACACTCTTCCTGATAACAGAGACGTGGAGAGAAAGCTAATGACTCTCCTTCACCACGGGCTGGGACACAAGATTCTAGAAGTTTCCGAGCATTCCTGTACTTCCTGCACATTCCTGTTTATATTAAATGGCCCAAAGTCAGCATTTTCCCATACCAGGAACCTGAAAATAGCAGCTTTGTGGCCAAAGAATCCTGGAATTTTGCCTTTCTTCCTACAGAGCTCGGAAATGGTTTCTGTGGGGACCCTAAATTCAAGAAGCCTCTAGAACTCTGCCTCTGGACATACCTGGCCTTACCAACCTACATTCATGCCACACAGAATGGCAAAACGTCAAGCAGCCATGGTAGCTCGATCTCCATTGAAACAGCTCTCTGTTAAAGTGCTGGCTTAGGTCTACTTTTAAACTCAATCTGGGAGCCATTCATTATCTGCCTTCCTAAGAATTAGAGCCAATGAACAGCTCCAAAGTTACACATCCTGAGAGAGAGAGAGAGAGAGAGAGAGAGAGAGAGAGAGAGAGAGAGAGAAAGCGCGAGTGTGCGAGCGCGCTCTTTGGAAAAGAAAGCCAGCCACCTGTAACTTTTGGTCAAAATTTACATGCCTCAAATCAACGACTAGATAGGTGCATGTTCTCGCTCATTCAATGAACATTTATTCTTCTCTAGCCATGTGTCAAAAGTAACAATCACCCTCTAACCTGAGAACAAGGAAAAAACAAAAAACAAAGCCGTGGACCCTCCACCATGGTAGTGGCCAAGTGTGGTAGTCAGCCAAGACACAGGGACCTTCGACTGCATTCGAGAAACACTTGGTTACTATCAAATTATAATAATTATTCTGCCGATTAATTATATGCTATCTGAATTATTACTTAAGTCTTTTCTCATTTACCTTGTAATGTGCATTATTTCTAGGCTCTTCAATTGGATTGTGAAATTTGAAGTTAAGGAGAGCTCTCTGATCCAACCCCTCTTTGAATGTCCAGAATATCAGAACAGTGCCTAGCACACAGAAGGCATTTAAAAAGTTGTGTATAGCCTGGCCAGCGTGGCTCAGTGGTTGGCCATCGACCTATGAACCAGGAGTTCAAGGTTCAATTCCTGGTCAGGACGCATGCCCGGGTTGCAGGCTTGATCACGTGTGGTGCATGCAGGAAGCAGCCAATTAATGATTCTCTTTCATCATTGATGTTTCTATCTCTCCCTTCCTCTCTGAAATTAAAAAAAAAAAAAAAAAAAAAAAAAATATATATATATATATATTTGAAAAACCGCTGGATGAATGTTTACTGATTTGTTTTCCTATTAAATTAGACTCTGGCTTATTAAAACAAAGAGAAGAATTTTTCTAGTTGACAGGAAAGAGAAGCCTAACAGGAACTGTAGGAAAATGGCTTAGCAAGCTACGCCCAGCCAGGGGCAGGAGGTTGCTGAGCCAACTGCTTCCCAAGGGAGCAGAGATGTGAGCAGGCTGTCCCACGGTCCTGTCGGGGAAGCCCGGTGCTGCAGAGAGCCTTCCTGCCCTCTGGCATACAAGATTGCCACGTCTGGCAGGAAGGGTGTGTGCGCAACTAGTCGAGGCCTAACAAAACATGGGAGGGCAGCCTTGCCACACACCCTCCTCTCCTTTTCTGCGGGTGATGTGTGGCACAGAAATGGAAGAAAAATTTGTCAATTTCCTGGTGCCCAGGTCTTTGAACTATGCCTTCATAGAGAGAAACTTTACATTGCCTGAAGTTTAATCCTCTCTTGTCCCTGTGACAAGCCAACTCTTGAGGCATTTGCTTAATTTTTCTCAGAGATTTGCTTACAGGAGGTGGGGAAGGCTGTCTTCCCCAGGCATTAGAGCTCTGCCCCAGAGCACTAGCCCCTGCGGACTCAAGCCCAGAAAGGGTCGCCCAGAGGGAGGCACCATCTGCCCGTCTGCCCGTCCGTACCTAGAGCCTTCACAGATATCTGCCGGGTGAGTGGAGGGGGGATGTTGATGCACACCAGATCCACGTCTTGGTGCAGTAAGACATCGTCCGTCTGGCTGGTATAGAAGGTGATGTTCATCTCCTCTGCAAGCTGCTTCGCTTCCTCCTCAGTCTTCCCCCACAGCGCCTCCACGGTGAACCCCTCTGCCCTCAGCAGCGGGACTAGGACCCGGGCGGAGCTGCCAGTCCCAAACACGCCCACTCCTGGGAGCATCTTCATGCTGGGTTCTCTGTTCACCAACTCATCTCCTCACGAGAGCCTCCAACATGAAGACGACCATCTCACGGTCCTGGTCAAACATGGCTCCTGGAACAGCAACAGCACACTAGCTGTTAGTAAAGGGCACACTCAGTTGAGGCTCTCTGGCTTATTCGGAAGCAAAAAGTTCTCAAAAGCACAAATGAAACACTTCTCTAAAATGAAAAGCTGCATAAGCTTCTCCCAGGGAAACTAAAGGATAATAGCAAAATCCATCTCCTGGAAGAGGGGAAAATAAAAATATGAGTAAGCTGGGTTCAAATCCCTATTCTGTTACTTAATTTCCTGTGTACTTGGGACAATGCTCTAACCATTGGTGAATACTGGCCAGGGCAGTAATGTGTTCTACAGGCCCTCACTAACCTGAAAGACATCATCATGTATTCCTTAAAAAGTGGAAAAACAGCCGAGACCGGTTTGGCTCAATGGATAGAGCGTCGGCTTGGGGACTGAAGGGTCCCGGGTTCGATTCCGGTCAAGGGCATGTACCTTGGTTGCGGGCATATCCCTAGTAGGGGGTGTGCAAGAGGCAGCTGATCGATGACTCTCTCTCATCGATGTTTCTAATTCTATCTCCCTTCCTCTATGTACAAAATCAATAAAATATATTTTTTTAAAAAAAAGTGGAAAAACAAAACAATATGTGCGGTATGACATCAATTTTGTGTTTTCTTTAAAGCATAAGAGACATAAATATAAGATATATACATGAAAATATACAATGATATCTATAATGTATCTATAAACATATTACACATGACAGTAGAAGGACAAGAATACACCTGAATTTTATAAAGATTACTTATAAGTACAGGCAACTCATTATCAAGTCTGGTTGATTCTAGTTTGTTATCTTTTAAATCTATGCCTTCTTTGCCATCCTTTCTGCCTCTATGCTAGTCTAGCCCCCGGCACCATTCACCTGAATGACTACAGCAACCTTCTACTTAATCTCTCTGGCTTTCATCATTTCCTTCCTTTATCCATTCCTCCTACTGCAATGAGATCTTTCTAAAATGCAAATGGATTCATATCACTCCCTTCCTTTTTAAACCTTTTAGTAACTTCCCATTGGACTCAGAATGACTTACAAGTCTCTGCATGACCCACAAATCTCAAGATAAGACTAGATTTGTGCAGTCACTTTCAAGGATTATTTCCAAGAGAGATCAATTTTAAAAAACATACTTAGATAATCCAGTAAGAAGAATCCTGTATGAAATTATTAGCTATAAACCAGTTAAAAGTTGGGGGTACAGTTACTCCAAATGACAACAATGGTTTCAGAGTAACTGATGATAAGTGTGTTTTTTTCTTTCGGAGAGAATTAAATACCTAGTGGGGAACAGTTGTTTACTGAGATTCTTTCAGATCATATTAATACAATATCATCTCACAAAAACTCATAGAAGAATGTTCATAGGAGCCCCAGTTTAGATAGTGGATAGAGCATTGACTAGAGGACTGTAGGGTCCAGGATTCGATTCCATTCAAGGGCATCATATGTTCAGCTTGCAGGCTTGATCCCCAGTAGGGGGGTGTGCAGGAGACAGCCAATCAATGATTCTCTCTCATCACTGATGTTTCTATCTCTCCCTCTCCCTTCCTCTCTGGAATCAATAAAAATACATTTTTTAAAAAAAAGAAAAGAATGGCCCTAGCCGGCGTGGCTCAGTGGATAGAGCATCAGCCCTCAGACTGAAGTCCCAGTTTCGATTCCGGTCAAGGGCATGTACCCTGGTTGCGGGCACATCCCCAGTAGGGGGTGTGTAAGAGGCAGCTGATTGATGTTTCTCTCTCATCGATGGTTCTAACTCTCTATCTGTAAAAATCAATTCCTCTCTCTGTAAAAATCAATAAAACATATATATGAAAAGAATGTTCACAGAATTATTATTATTTTATTACTACTAGAGGTCCAGTGCACAAATTTGTGCACAGGTGGGGTCTGCCTGCCCTGATCTGGGCTGACTGGGCTGGGCCCGTGAGGGGGAGGGGCCTAGGTGGTTGGCGGGGCCAGCCCCACCTCCTGGTTGAACTGCACTGTAACTCCCGGGAGAGGGGACAATTTGCATATTACCTTTTATTATATAGGATTATTATTTTTAAATATAGAACGAATTTGCATGTCATCCTTGTACAGGTACCATGCTAATCTTCTCTATATCATTCCAATTTTAGTATATGCGCTGCCAAAGCAAGCACAGGAGAATTATTCATAATAGCCAAAAGGTGGAAACAACCCAACTGTCCCTCAACTGCTAAAAGGATAAACAAAATGCGGTATTATCCATATAATGTAGTATTATTCAGCCACAAACAGTAATGGAAGTACTGATACAAGCTATAATATGGATCAACCTTGAAAACAGTATGCTAAGAAGCTAGTCACATAAGTATATGATTCCATTTACACAAAATGTTCACAACAAGCAAATCCATGGAGACAGCAAATTAGCGGCAAGGGACGGGGAAAGGAGTTACTGGGAGGTACAGGGGCCCAACTTTATTCAGTTTATTCCATTGATTTATATGTCTATTCTTATGCCAGCACCACCCCATCTTAATTATTTTAGCTTTATAGTAAGTTCTGAAATCAGGGTGAGTCTTCCAACCTTGCTCTTTTTCTTTTTTTTTTTCTTTTTTTAAAATATATTTTATTGAAATTTTCAGAGAGGAAGGGAGAGAGATAGAGAGCCAGAAACATCAATGAGAGAGAAACATCGACCAGCTGCCTTTTGCACACCCCCCACCAGGGATGTGCCCGCAACCAAGGTACATGCCCTTGACCGGAATCGAACCCCGGACCCTTCAGTCCGCAGACCGACGCTCTACCACTGAGCCAAACCGGTTTCGGCCCTTGCTCTTTTTCAATCTTGTTTTGGCTATTCTGGGTCCCTTGTATTTTCCTATGTATTTTAGGATTAGATTGTCAATATTGGATTTTGATAGAGATTGCTATGAATCTATAGATCGTCTTGAGTAAAATTATCACAATAATATTGAATTTTCTGATCCAGGAACATAGGATGTCTTTCTATTTATTTATGTCATCTTTTTAAAAAAAAAATGTTTTCATTGATTTTTTTTTTAGAGAGAGAGTAAGGGAGAGGGAGAGAGAGAAAGAGAAAGACATTGTTCAGCTGTCTCCCACATGCAACCCAACTGGGGTTCGAACCCACAACCTGGCTGATGTGCCCTGACCAGAAATCAACTGAGACCTTTCTGTGCACGGAATGAGGCTCAACCCACTGAGCAACACTGGTCAGGGTATTCAAGTCTTCTTTAATTTCTCTTAATGTTTTATAGTTTTTAGAATATAAATTACACTTTTGTTAAATTTATTTCTAAGCATTTAATTTTGTTTGATGCTATTGCAAGCGGAAATTTTTTTCTTAATTTCATTTTCAGATCCAGCATCTCTTTTACTTTCAAGGTAGAATACAAGTGAACTGTGCAAAGTACATCATGTCTACGTTAGGGCTTGTTTTACCAGGATAGCCTAGTATAGCATCCTACACTACTAGCTCCTACATGACAGACACCTGTGCCTGTGTGAAATACTGAAATAAGCATGACTTGGGCTGCCTCTCACTCCAGACCCCTCTCAGCTTCCTATCTCCTGTGGTCTCTACTGTCTAGGGCTGTGCAGCTTGGCCTGACCCCTGAATTCTACCATTGGGTTTTATCTTAACCATCTTTCTGTCGGATGGTGAATAACATCTGTAGCCTCAGACACTCCTCCCTCCTCTTTGCTGATAATTTTCCTGCCCGTACAAGCCTACTTCTATTAGAAGAGAAGTTAGTCACATAGACTATTATAAAAAACCAGTGGCCATAACACCGTAATGACCAAAGGACCGGAAACTAGGAAGTACATGGAGCACCTCTTGGGCCTTCCCCCACCCCACCCTTAACCCCACCCTCTCCACCCCCAGGGTGCTGGCAGCATCGGCAGAGCATCACAGGTGGTGGACATGGCCTTGGTGGCAGGCTAGGCCTAGGGGACCTTACACACATGCATGATTTAATCATGTGCTGGGCCTCTAGTCTTCCATAATTTTCATGTCCTGGACTCCCTTTAGCAATTTTGATCACTTTCTGTATTTATAGGTTCTTTTGGGTTACTTACAGGTCATGGATATCCTGAGAACTTGAGTGTCAAATTTGTTGTACTAGGTAAGTGAGATTCTGCTTAACTTCTATGGGTCATTAATTACCAGCTAAAACAGCAGGGGATTGAGACATAGCCACCAAAAGCAAGGATATCCATGGCCCCTCTAAATTCATGTCCAGGGCACACTTCCTCCTCTCTAGCACTGCATTCCTTCATGCTCTAGTTATGTTTGGGTTTACATTTGCATCTGTGGCTTAAAACAACAAAGTGGATTAAAATAAATGTTAATAACCTCCGTTTTACTAACACTGACTCAAAGGGCAGCTTTATCAACATCCATAAAAAAGGGGCACTAGCTGGACTGAGGAAGCCAGATGGCATGAAGCTAGGCAGGCTGGTTGACTAGTATTTCCTGCTCAAGCAGGCAGTGCTGGCTTTCCTCATTTATTTCAGTGACTATCCTCTCTCACCCATAACATTTCCCTACTACTCGCCCCTAATATCCTTGCATATACCTTTTATGTGCTTACAAAGATCTCTATAAACCCAGGTCTACCTCCCATGCCGGTCTAGAATGAACGGTGGAGCCCGGTGGAGCCCAGCTGGTGTGGGTCAGTGGTTGTGGTTCGATTACCGGTCAGGGCACATGCCCAGGTTGTGGGCTTGATCCCCAGTAGGGGGCATGCAGGAGGCAGCCGATCAAGAATGCTCTCTCATCATTGATGTTTCTATCTCTCCCTCTCCCTTCTTCTCTGATATTAATATATATATAATAAAATAAAAGAATGAACAGTGGAAAGTGCCTTGACAGGACTGGCTATGCATACTTTGACAAGGCTATAAG